ACTGAGTGGTTTCTCCTCCCTTCTCAGCAGAGCTTGTTTGTTTTTTGAAGGAAAGAAGCAAACAAACCAAACAGAACTTGACTGAGAAACTCTAATATGAAGACTATTTTGGATTGTGTCATTTTGGGGAAAAAGCAAAGGTGTTTGAGTTTATTTGAATGTACAACCACAATACTTTTGTTACCTTAGAAGGATGATACATAGTAAGTTCTCAATAAATAAAGATGTAAGAATTAATGTCCAACTAGAGGTGCAAGGTACATGGGAGATTGTGAGAGACAGAGTCTAATTCTTAAGGAGAAAACCCGAAACTTTTTGCTTAGCCTTTCACCATATCCCGCTTCTAGTCCTCCAAAATCATACTTACTTTGCTTTCTATTGTCTAATTAGATTCTACTGATGAATTAGGTACAGAGGAATAGGCTATGCATGCCTTCAAAATAACTATCTCCTTTTAGCTGAATGATAGTGGTTAGTGTAATATGATAGTTAAAATTGGCAGTGCCCACCATGAAGAGTTGTTGACTCACTATCCTTATGTTTCCTTGAGTGGTTGTGGAGGACATTACAGTGCTTTGTTAACATTAGGATTGTTGTAAAATAAAATGAGGTATGCTTATAAAGTGCAGCACACTACCTGGTACATAATAAATGTGATATAATTGTTCGCTGTTTTTGTATTTATTATTGTCATCATCTAACATGTACTGAACATTTATGTCAAGCTCTTGACCTAAGGTTGTTCAAGGTCATATAACTGCTAAGAAGTAGAGTTGAAATTTGTACCTAGTCTGTTTGACATTAACTTAATTTCTTAAATCCTATGTTACTGGAGTCCCATATTGCTGGCAGACCATTGAAAGGTACATTTTATTTTATTTTATTTTTTATTTTTTTTGAATTTTTATAGTCTGCAAATTTTATTTAAGTATCAGAGGCATTTCTCTTCACATGTCATATGCATATATAAATCATTGTCATAAAATGTGAGAGAGTCTAGGTTTAACAGGTCAATATGCTCTTAGTGATGGTAGGACCCATGAGTCACCACAATGTTTTTTGTCTTGGATAACATCTAAGTTATAAACTATTCACAGTGCAATGTACAATAACCATAGTTCCAATTCATATAAATTTATCAACCCAAAAAAGGAATATTCATAGAATGAAAACAATTTCCTTTCAAGTATTTTATATCCCTAAGTAAGAATTGAAGCCACTGGCAATTTTGCTCACTAAATGAGGAAGCAATAACATACATGGAATCTTTCCTGATACACCATTCATATGCACAAGGGGAGAAAGATCTAGACAGAGAAATGATGGCAGTTGTAATAGCACCTGTAACCCCAGCTACTCAGGGGGCAGATAACTGGAAGGTTGTGGTTTGAGGTCAGCCTGGACAAACAGATATACAGACTCCATCTCAACAAGTATGCTAGATATAATGGGGTGGCAATGCAGTAATCACAGTATGCCATAGGTAGGAGGATCGCATTGTGAGGCTGGCCCCATGCAAAAATGTGAGATCTGACCAGAAAAAACTAAAGCAAAAGCAAGTGCTAGCATGATGGCTCAAGTGGTAGAAGAGCTCCTGCCTAGCAAGTGAGAGGTCCAGAGTTCAAACCCCAGTACCACAAGAGAAAAGGGGGAAAAAAAAAAAAAAGAGGAAAAAAAAGGCAAATCTGAAAGGCACATTTTAAAAGTCAACATATATAATAAGAAGGCATTAGGGATGTACTAGCTACAAATTTAGCATGGTGATTAAAAAAAAACTTTTGGATTGGTTCGTCGGTCAGCAATGGATTATTAGTGTTCATTGTGTAAAGAGCTCTCTAAAAGGAAATGTGGTTAGAGGACAGAGAAATGAGGTCCATGATATATGAAATGCAACTGGACTAATGCACATTAACCTGATGTAAACTGAACATGAATATGAACATGGGGGAGAAGATGGAGCCTTCCATGTTGGCTTGTGCATGCTTCCCTCATTCAGGAGATAGGGTTTACTATCTAACAGATGCCTGAGTTGAAAACTCAGCTCTGTCTCTTCCTGAATGATGTCCTGGAATAAGTGTCTCTGCCTCTTTGAGCTTTAGTTCTTTTGCATAAAAAAGAAGCTGGTGATGGTGAACTTAATAGAAATACTATGCAGGGCCTACCAAGATTTTTGATACATGTTCAGTCAGTTTTTGTTCATAAATATATGATCATGTGGGGTAATGTCAGCATATTTAACCTCAAAAGCACACAAACAAAAGTGCTTAAGCTTTTAGATTGAGTACTTGCTAGTTTTCTACTAGGTTATATCTCCCCATCCCCCACTCTCCTCATGATTTGCTGATTATCTGGCAAATGCACAAAAGGAAATCACATGTAGCTGCCAGCATGAAGTACCCAGAAAGTCAGCTTTGAGGAAAACCAACACTTCTGAGAAAAAATGGTGACACAAAGTTCAAAAGAAAAGAAAAAAACAAACTGTGACTAACCCCTTGCCTATCCTGAAGTCGTAAAGGCTTTGGATTATTTGATGAACTGACTAAAGTACAGTGTAATCAAAGTCCCTGAAATGCCCCCACATGTTGAGACTGATGAGGACAGAGCAGAGAGAGAGAGTAGCTGCAATGGGTAAGGGTGGAGATGAGAGTGGGATGCATATGCGGTGTGGGCACAAAGGACCCAGCTCCATAGGGCTGGAATAGCATTACCATCCAGTGTCCATCTGCATGGAGTGACTCTGAACTTGAGGGCCTGAAGACTCCTATGTCTTGTCTTTCTACCATTGATCAAGGCGGTTGGCCAGGATAGGTTAGGATGATGCAAGTTTGGGCCAGGATGCTCAGTTCACCAAGTAACTTTCCAGAAGAGATTTTCTAAGACAACTAATCTATTGACCATGAAAAATCTAAGGCCTTATGGCTTGTTACAATTTGTTAAACTCATTTTACAGTGGTTAGTACATTTTATTTTAGAAAGCCTTTTTTTTTTAAAAAAAACAATTCCATAAAAGTATTTAATTATGTTGGCAAGAAAGCCATGTGATGTAAGTGGAAAAATGATATGATAAAGCTACATTTTATGAACTGTAGAAGCCAGTGTTTGAGTGAGAGACAAAGAGGAAGGGAAGAGGCAGATGACAATTTCTGGAAGTGGTCTACAGACCACACACATGACTTTTTGATTCTTCTAAAAAGTGAAACAGTATAAAGAATTTTTTAAAAAAAGTCTTATATCTAATGGATAAAGCCTCCAAGTTGGAGTCTGGAGAGTACTGGTTGAGTACTGTCTCTACTGTCAGCTATATGACCTATGTCTTCTTTAAACTTTAGCTTTCTTATTTGAATAATGGTGCTAACTTAGTCCTGTTGGTTGTTTAGGAGGTTGTTAAAATGCTTCACAGATATTTTGAGTTACCTACCTGTATGTATATTTACACTTTGATGGTATGATTACATTGAAATTTTATTCTGCATCTTTAAGCAAGTGATTTACTGTCAATCCATGGCACTAAGGCAACATATTTATAGAGGAGGAAATCCCTTGCTCAATACTGATCTGATTATTAGAGAACTTAAGGTTTATTTCTATTTTCTAACTTGGAGAGCTGCAATCAGGTTTTGAAAAAGAGGTGAACCATCCACTAGAAGAAAGGGACACTGGAAGCTTCATATGTATTGAGATATAATATATATTTGTATACTTTATAAATATATATAAAATACATAGTTTGGCAGTACTAGGATTTGAACTCAGGGTCTCTCTATTTGATAGGCAGACACTGTACCACATCCCAGCCCCTTTTTTGCCTTAGTTATTTTTCAGTGGTCTCACACGTTTTTGCATGGGGCGAGCCTTGGACCATGATCCTCCTACTTATGGCCTTCCAAGAGGCTGGGACAACAGGTGTGAACCACCATGCCCAACTTATTGATGTAGATGGGGTCTTGGGATCTTTCTAACTTTTTTGCCTGGGCTGGCCTTGAACCCCAATCCTTCTGAGTAGCTGGGATTATCGGCACGAACCATCACATCTGGCCTATGAGTTGTATTTTTGTTACAAATCCAGATGTTAAGATCCTACTGTCTGTCATTTTTCAAGGTTCCTGTTCGTTAGTTGTTTTAGTGCCACTGCACCCCTCATTTTGGGAGGAGGTGGATAGACACTGCAGGTGTCGATGTTTCTTCTGCATGGTCTGCCCCCATACATTGACTTCCACTGCATCAGGAGCCATGGGGCTGGGCAGCTGTGCCTTTAAAGGGGGAGTTGAGGTTGCTCTTAGTGTTCACACAAGGTTAAACATCTTATGATGTTCTGTCTGAGAATGAAATGCTACTGGAAACACTTTATGACAACTACCTCGTGCCATCAGGAACCTTAAAATGTGAAGAAATGGCCCGTTTCTAGCTTCTGGGTCCTGATCACCTGCAGGAATCAGCTCCTAAGATACCTTTCACCAGAACATGTGTCTAAGAGAAGCTTTGCTATCTCCTGAAGTAGCCGTTGTGTAGTCTCTCTCTCTCACCCCCTCCCTTTGTCTTTTTCATGTTTTTTCTTCCTCTGATTCTTCTGTTTTTTACTCTTGTTTGCTCTTTTCCCTTTCACTTCTTTCCCTCCTTTTCCCACCTGTCTCCACTCTCACTTTCTTCTGTTCTCATTTCTTGGGGTGAAAGGATCTGCCTGATAAGGTTTGCTGACATCTTCCTTCTGATTATTCTTTATGTGTTTTCCTAATTTTCTTTACTCTAGTCTCAGGCAGGTGTGTGACTTTTTTCATCTCAGGGAGGAGTATGGATTTTTAATGTCCATTCTGTTGAGATAAAATGTACCTGACCTTCAGAGAGGATTCTCACTGGGTAGCTGAAGAGTTCATAGTCATTATCATCTTTCATAAATTCAGAAGGTGGGTGGCCTTCATCAGGAAGCGCTACTAAGCATTCACCTCAGCTCTGGACACGTTCTTCCTGTTTGATGATGAACATTATTGTCTTTCTGATAACAGATTGAGGAAACTCGGCTCAACATCGACAAGATCTCAGAGCATGTGGAGGAAGCTAAGAAACTCTACAGTATCATTCTCTCTGCGCCAATTCCAGACCCAAGTGAGTGTTTACTAAGTTGAGTCACCCAACACCGACCCTTTGCATTGGAGCTAGTCAGCCTTATTTTCCTTCTTTCTGTGAACAGCAGGGGAGTGTACACATTACCTTGTGCTAATGTACACACCACATCACTTTCTTCCCTGTTTCCTTTCCTTCTTTTAGCTTGTGCTGCTAGGCCACCGTCAGCTCTTCTCTTCACAGTCCCACTGAAATCACTTAGTGAAACTTCTCTACTTCCCCTCTTGTTCCTCCTATGACTAGCAGTGCCTCTTACTGCTTCTCACATACCTCATGCTTGGTCCCACATCTGTGCCTTTGTTTGGACTATTTGCTTGAAATGCTTTTCCCTGCCCCTTTTCTAAATCCTACCAGATCAAGTCCATTTTTTCCCCCATAAGGTGTTCTGAAATGGTTCAAGTTCAAAGGAATCTTTCCTGTCCCTAAACTCACATTTGTTACTGCTATCAAGGCAAACTTTTGTTCCCCCTACTAGTTCTACATTTTGAGAGTACAATTTAGGACTGTAATTTCTATTCCTTATGAAGACAGAATAAGCCTGATCCTATCATTTCACTCTTTACGTTTTTCAATGATTCTCTATTACCTATCAACTAAAACTGGACCATTTTAGCAGAGCATATGGGAATTTCCTGGTCATATTCTCACCTTCCTCTCCACCCTTTTCTCCTGCCATCCCTGCTTCGTCCTACCTATACTTTAGCCAAACTAAACTCGGGCTGTTCCTCATACACTTCTTGTTCCTTACACCTTTTACATATCATTCCTCCTTCCTGAGAGTCCTGCTTTTACTCTCCTTTGTTTCCTGGTTTACTGTTAGTCCTTTGAGAAGGGTAAGTTTTTCCAGATACTTTCAGGCAGTGCTAGGGTACTCTTTATAATCACTATGTGCTCACCTTGACCAGAACTCATACTTTATTCATGCTGTTAGGACTGCTGAAGTATTTCTTCCTCATCCCCTACTATACTCAGAGCACCTTGAAGGCAGAATTTATATCTTCTCTCTGATTCATTAGTTTCTTACTGAGTTCCAAGCTTGCAGTAGGTGCAAAAGGATGGTTTTGGAATGAATGATCGTAGCTATTACTTATTCATTCCATATATGCATAATGTTGCATGAATGCTCCATTTATCAGCTAGGACAGCTCTGGACACATAGTAGGTACATCACAAATACTTGCTTCATTCTAAGTTAAGCCTTGCTTGAAATCTCTTCTCCAGAAATCCCATGGAACCCTCTCCTACCTTCTGAGATTAAGCCCTCATGATAAACCATATTGTTTCTCCTTCTGTAGTACGAGATGGGATGCCTGGCAAATGCCTTTTATTTTAGTTAATTAATATTTTATTTTGGGTGCAGAGGATGAACCCAGTACTGCATGCATGCTAAGGATATGATCTACCACTGAGGTATACCCCTAGCCTGAGAATCCCTTTTAAAAATAAGCTCTTGGGCTAGGGACATGGTTCAAGTTGTAGAGCATCTGCCTAGCATGCATAAAGTCATGAGTTCCAACCCTAGTACTGTCCCCTCTTTCAACCCCCCCAAAAAATCTATGATTCTAGTGACAGATTCTGGGGAGCACACTGGGATAAATACTGCTGTGGGCAGTGAGTGCCTGAGAAAGCTTCCACTCCTTCTGCTTATTGTTGTAACTCACAAAGGAGTGAGCTCTTTTCTAACTGATTCTGTCTCCTTTGTTTACCCAGAAACCAAGGATGACCTCGAGCAGCTCACAACTGAGATCAAAAAAAGGGCCAACAATGTCCGGAACAAACTGAAGAGTAAGATTGAAAAAAAGGGAAAGAGCTGGTCTTCTCCACCATCAGTTGTAGCTCCCTAGGGTTCACCTCTTCTGAACACACACACCACTTGTCTCATCTTTGCTTCTGGCTTGGGCATTGTCACTGGGATGACCTACTGTAGCCCTAGAAATTTACTTTCTCTTGAATCCTGACTGTAGTCGAAAAAGTTTAGAATTAAAGTTAGGAGATGGAAGTTAAAATTGCTTTTGGCTACTGACTTGGTCCTTTTAGCTTGGTTCCTCAGATTTCTCTTACTGGTCCTGTCTCACCAGTACCTATGCACATTCAAAAGGTCTATAGAAGCAGAGTTTATTATTCAGTCTACAGACATTTGTTGATGGGCTAGGTATTTCTTGGGCACCTTTTCATTGCTGCCTTTCCTCCTCCACACCTCTTTAGACCACAGTTCAGTGAAGCTGCTCTCATGGAGACAATTCTCCTGGGAACTCAAATAGTTTACTTAGATCCATGGCTGTAATTCTGTATTTGGTGAGTGCATGCTGCTGGTCAGAGGGGAAAGCAGTATCACTTAGCCCATTTTATGACTTCTTTCCCTAAAATAAATTGCAGTCACTATTTTAGCTGGGCATGGTGATGCACACCTGTAATCACAGCACTTGGAAGGCTGAGGCAGGAAAATCACAAGTTTGAGGCCAGCATGGGCTACACAGCATGAGACCCTGTCATAAGATAAAACAAAAGACCTATTTTCATGCGTATAGAGGGAGAGGATCATTAGTAGCAGCTTCCAATGATGATAATGATAGTGTGGCTGCCACTGTGATAAGTACTTTATGAACAGGAGCTGTGATAAGTACTTTATGTGTGTTCTTATTTAATATTCACAATGATATTGTAAAGAAGGAACAGGCTAAGAACACTTAATCTGAAAATCCAAAACTGAAAATGCTTCAAAACCTTAAACTTTTTAAGCAACAATATGGCACCACAAGTGGAAAATTTCATACCTGACAGGTGCACTAAAAATATGGTATAAAATTACTTTCAAGCTCTGTGAATTTTGTTTCCATATTCCCAACATATTTCATTATGCATATGCAAATATTCCAAAATCTGAACAATTCTGAAATCTGAAACGCTTCTGGTCACCAGGATTTCAGGTAAGGAATACTCAACTTGTACTGTTATTTGTTCCATTTTACAGATGAGAACAGAAGCATTCAGAGAGGTCAAGTGGCTTTCTCAGTCATCCAGCTAGTTAGTGGCAGGGGAAGGATCTGAGCCTCAGTCTCTTGATGATCAGCACCCACACTGTTAACCATTTTTTATGGTAATAATAAAGGCTGAAGAAAACAAGTTTGTGGCTATGTGGGTAGACCTTTTGAGATTTCACTTCTCTGTTCTACCTCTATGAGCTTTGTGTGTGAGGACGGTTGAAGAAGTCTGAACTGAACAGTGTGTTTCTTGGAAGGAAGAGCAGATGTGTTACTAGGATAACCTTCCTCTCACTCCAGGTATGGAGAGGCATATTGAAGAAGATGAGGTTCGGTCATCAGCAGACCTTCGGATTCGGAAATCCCAGGTAAGTTTGTCTCTGGTCTAACAAACATCTTCAATACTTTGATTATTATTAGCTGTGGAGATTTTTGTTTTTTGTTTTTTTTTTTTTAATTCAATTCTTATTTGGTATTCAGTTTGAAGAACTGGTAAAGGGGAACTATCCAGATTGAAGTAGGGGTTGGGCCAGAAGTTAGCCTTTTTTGACCCTTACACTGTTCTCGAAGGGAGAGGCCCCTCAAGTTCTTCCTAGGACTCTCTAGACAGAGCTTTAGTGCCTCCTTGTTTACAGGCAGAAATTTGTGTCTTCCTTCTAAAGATTGTAAGTTATTAATTGGTCAGTTTGGAGCTGGTACTTTGGAGTCATCAGATATGACCCTTATACTTAAAGAACTAACATGACATTCAAGTGGCATAGGAAACTTACATAAGACCCAGCAAGAAAACAGTAGACATAATTAAATGCATGATGCTCTCAGCACTAAAAGATATCAGAATTCAGGGGTAGCCAGAGGAGGCTGGGCCTTGAATAGGCAAAAGTGGTCAGGTAGCTTCAGTCTTTGAGAGGCCTGGGGCAGGAATGGGGGATGTGTGTGTACGTTTATGTGTGTTGGCAGTAGCAGTGATGGTGTGGTGGTGCAGAGGGAGGGGGAAGAGTAAGGGGCAGATATGAAGAGAAGAGCTTGTCTGGAGAAAAATGTTTCTGGTGGGGTGTCTGATGTTGTATTATGGTAGCCATTGAAAGCTGGTATGAGTGAGGAAGAAGCAAGAGGCTGGTAAGTCCCTAATTGGGTTTTTTACAATGATTTTCATTTGAATTTAAACTGTGGTAGTGGGTTTAGAAAAGGAATAGGTATTGGTGATTTTTGCAAAGGAGAAACTAGTGGGGCTTGATTTTGAGAGGTGGGCAAGTAATAAAAATTATTATGAAGGTTTGAACTTAGGCATTGAAGGCTATTGCGAGAATATATCAATGTATAAACAAAAGTTGGGGAGATTGGTTGGGGTAAAAACTTGAGGCTCTTTGGCAAGCATTATGTGTGAGAAGCACAGCTAAGGGCCATACCAGAAAAATGCTCCTAGTCCAAATAGGTGCAAGGCTCTGAGAATCCCAGAGATTCTCTTGTTTTGCCTCACAATTTCTATGTGAATTTAGCACAGCAGTTAAGCAGGTATGGAAACTGTGCTTTGTAAAGGGGAGTGGATTCTTCCAAAGGCACAAAACTAGATTGGGTCCTGCATTTGGTCTTTTGATTCCAATCCCAGTGCTGTTGTAGAGTAGGCTATGTGTGGTTGGGGAAGGGGTTCTACAGCAGTTATGGACCTCCTCTGCCATCACTTCTGGAGGCCTACTCATTGAACATTGTTCTCTTAGCACTCTGTCCTTTCCCGGAAGTTTGTGGAGGTGATGACCAAATACAACGAGGCTCAAGTGGACTTCCGTGAACGCAGCAAAGGGAGAATCCAACGGCAGCTTGAAATTAGTATGTGTTTGAAGTTTGATGTGTTTCCTTCCTCCACATTTTCATGTCCGTTCTAAATTGTGAGACCCTGGGAGAACAAGCAGCAATCCTGCTTGTGACTTCTGTGTCATACTTTGAAACAAGCACAGGACAGATGTTATGGCATCAGTACATCCTGAATACTGCCTCATAGGCTGCATCATAGGCACAACATTTATCAGAGCCAAGTAATTTTGTTCTGATGGGATCCTGTAGGATCATACCCAGAGGGGAAACACTTGCTAGACAGTTGTTCTCCTATGGATTTATCTCATCTTTTTGCTATCTGTTAGACAGAAAAGCTTTTTATTTTACAAGTATGATACTAGTTGCCATAAGGAATCAAGAAATTAATAAACCCATGTCCCATTGGAACTTAATAATATGGAAAGAAGGGCGCTGCAAGGCAAATGTGCTTCAAGTGGGAGAAACTATGAAAAAAGATGTTATCAAGAAAAAGCAAGTGTGTTTAGGAGTGGCAGGGCATCCAGGATCTGGATGTGTTTGGAACTATAGTGTAAGGTTAAGATGGGTTGATAGAGGTGAGGGCTCCCCATGAACTGTGCATTATGACGAGGGCCTGGGACTCCATGGTGTAGTGAATGGGGCTGGTAAATATTCTGAACTGGAGGAAATGTAATCATGGTAATACATGCTTTAGGATGGGCACTGATTGCTAATAATGTTAAGGATGTGCTCGGTTGGGAAAAAAGAGTCTGGAGGCTATTGGGGAAGTACTGTAGAGGCCCTGGTCTTTATAACGAAGTCTCCATACTGCTAGTTTTCAGGGAACTTATAAATGGGGTTGTGCTTTGATCTTATATTTGGTGCGCTATTTCTTCGTTATAAAGCTGGCAAAAAGACAACAGATGAGGAGCTGGAGGAGATGCTAGAGAGTGGCAACCCTGCCATCTTTACTTCTGGAGTAAGTGACGTGGACACTGTGAACAGGGAGGGGTCTGGAACTTTACCTGCTCTTGCAGGGTGGGTGGTGGTTGCAGGGAGACAGGTGTGGCTGGCTGATGGCCTGTGTCTGTGTGGCCTATTATAGATCATTGACTCACAGATTTCTAAGCAAGCCCTCAGTGAGATTGAGGGTCGGCACAAGGACATTGTGAGGCTGGAGAGCAGCATCAAGGAACTCCATGATATGTTTATGGACATCGCCATGCTGGTAGAGAATCAGGTAACTGGCAGTGGGTCCCAGGGGGGAAGGGTGGAAAGGAAACCTCAGGTGCTCCCAAGAATGGTGAAGAGAGGAATAGTGGAGGTCAGATGAGGTAGAGTGGGAGAACCAGGGGATTGCATAATGGAGTAACAGAATTCCAGTGTCTCAGTGAATTGTGTGCATTTTAATTGAATGTTGACACTTTAAGTCATCTCAGCGTTGTCATTATTTATTGCCTTTTACTTTGGTCTTGCAGTCATTTCTAGTTAATACAGGTTTTAGTGTGTTAAGTACTTAGATTACTTAGCACCAGAGCTTATTTTCAAAAAATTAAAGATAGTGGTTCTTAATGATGTCTTAAAGCAATCTCTGATTGATTGCTGATGATGTTGGAAGGACGTTCTTTTGTCCAACTCATAGTGAAAATTTTGTGAAACATGAAAACAGAGGTTTTGAAGCTGGGCATGGCAGCTCATGCCTATGATCCCAGCACTCAGGAGAGTGAGGAAGGAGGATCGTTGAGTTCCAGGCCAATCTGGGCTACATAGTGAGATCTTGTCTAAAGTAACAAACAAACAAACAAAACCAAAACAAAACCAGTGGTTTTAATTTTTTTTTCTATTTTTGTTTAGTCACTTGTGTTTTTCTAAAAATTTTGGCAGTGTTTGCTAAGGAACAAGAGCAGACATGAATGAAGAAATAGTAAGAGTTATTTATAGAAAAACTTAAAGCACTCATGGTGCTTAGTCTGACAGCTTGTTAATCCCCAGGCATGCTTGCTCAGGAATGGAATTCTGTATTGCCTGCATACCTGCACATGGTGTTTCACAGTCAGGTGGGCCCTAATTTTTTTTTTTTTTTGGCAGTACTGGTGTTTGAACTCAGAGCCTCGTGCTCGCTAGGCATGCTTGCTAGGCACTTGAGCCACACCTCCAGCCCAGATGGTCCCTACTTCTTATGATATAATTAAATATGCTACAGGGTCATAGTGCTGTGCCACTTTTGCCAGGAACTTCCAGCTGTCTGGCCATCTGGACAGGATTGGCAACTGCTTCCTTAATAGACAGACTATAAAACCTAGTTGAAGCATAAGCACTGCTTGTCTTTTTCTTGACATCAGCTCTCTGCTCAGGTGCCTCTCTCCCTCCTCCCTTTTGGCCTTTGAGATCCTTTCTCAGGTTCCACCATTCCTACTTTCTTTTTTCCCCCCCACATTGCCTTGCCGAGGAGCTGGTTTGAGATTCAAGCAATGGTAAGTGCCTTGCTCTGTTTATAAAGGGCTATAAAATGATGGGGTTATGTTGAGGAAAGCCTGGGTAGGTGAAAGGAATTCCCAACCTCAGATGCTCAGAAAGTAACTGGAATGACTGCCTAGAGAGGAAGCCTTAACCAAATCACTTAAGGGGGCCTGGCAATTTATCCTGGAGAAAGCAAGTGTTCCCAACCTCAGTTACTTATTGAACAGCTCCTATGTGCCAGGTACTATTCTATAGTAATGAGCAAATCAGTTTAGGCTAAATGAACTTGGTTAATGTCTGATGGCCAGGAGCAGGCCAGCTTCCTGGTGATGTCCTAAAAGCATGAGATATCCTTACTTTGGTTATTCCCCATAGTCTTAACTCAAAAAGAAGAAAAAAGTGGGAGAGGGATCCCTTAGTATATTTGTATGTAGTTATTGACACCTAGAAAGTCTGTTTCAGATGTCCAGCACACAAAGTGATTCAGTAAGTGTTTCTTGAAGGAATGACCACTACCAAAGTCTGAGGAGCTACAAGTAGTTATATGGGAAATGTGACACAGCCCTACGGAAAGCTGTGCTGCAAGGTTTCTGGATGCTTCTCTTTGCATTAAAAACTATGAGCTCCTTCCCTACATTAGCTAGAACTGTTTTGAGTAGATTAACTAGGTGTGATGAATATCTGTTCTTTTCAGGGTGAGATGTTAGATAACATAGAGTTGAATGTCATGCACACAGTGGACCATGTGGAGAAGGCACGAGATGAAACTAAAAGAGCTGTGAAATATCAGGGTCAGGCCCGGAAGGTGAGATTCTCTTGCTGTTCCCAGAGAAGAAAGTCCATTCTGTTTGCTGCCTTTTGCTTTTTCTCTCTACCCTCTCCCTGTCTGTTTCCACTGCCATCACCTTTTGCATCTGGGGAAGGGAGCCATGATTGACCGTATTGAGAACAACATGGACCAGTCAGTGGGCTTCGTGGAGCGGGCTGTGACAGATACCAAAAAGGCTGTCAAGTATCAGAGTGAAGCCCGGAGGGTGAGCACCTTAGACTCCACTAGTCCACTTGCTTCTCTTTTGTGTGGTCACTCCCAACTGTGTCCTTGAGCCCATGCCTACCCTCTGTGTCCTGGTCTCATCCAAACTCCTATCTTGGTCTTCCCTAGAGACTAGCTTCCTATCCTTCCTTCCCAAGGTGCCTTGCATGGATCTGGCTCACATGCTTCCTCTACCCAAGAACCCACACTTGAAAGGCAGTATTGTAGACTGGATGCATGGCCTAGGTGTTCTTGTTAATCTTCTGAACATAGTTTATGAACCTTTCAGATGTTACACTTGACTCCTCTGTTCTTCAGAAAACTTTACTTCATTGTCTTCCACTCAGGTAGTTCAAGCCCTGACACTCTTTTTTCCCTCTGTCTTATATCTAGCCTTATGTTAACTGCTATGTAAAACATTATCTCATATCTATGGAAGCACTGATTTTTTTCAACTTTTAGTAATTGAGGAACAGAGATTAAGTTACTGGCTTAAGGCTACCTAGTAAGTATAGGAGCTGGGATTCAAATTTAGATCCCAGTCATGCTCTTCCCACATCATGTTTGCTGACCCATCTGGCCAGGTGGCTCAAGGATTTCTAAGCTTCTCTACTTATTGACTATGAGTATTTACTGCTCATTAACTTCTGCTGTTTACTGTTCTTTTTATTTCTTTCCAGTTCTGATATTTTTGTTCTTTGTTTTTCTTTCTCCTGTACCTATTGCTTATATGGGTATTTAGGGAACTGGAAAGTTATTTAATGTGCTGGTTCTATGCTGGATCACACTTTCTGACATCCATTTAGTATATCTAAATCGATATACTACTGACATGTATGAGTGGACTTTAGGGAACAGATGAACAGAAGTTGGAAATTAGAACTATTATCAAAAATGACATTACAATTTCTCTTGAAAAGGAAAACTTAGTCACTTTATATCCTGGTCAACTGCTCCTTGGAGACTCCATATTAGTGGCTCTTACTATATCTGTTCACACTTGCAAGACTGTAGTTTGAGTTGAGAGGTGATAGATGCTCCATATTTCTATCTGTTGGCATTGCTAGCAAAGAAATAACTTAAGAAATGTAAAATATCCTAAGCTTCTCGTTTGGATTGATAAATGCTTTCTATGTAGAGATAAGCAGGGTTGAGTTTTAGATGAATTGTTACTTTTTTGTGATAATGATTATTTTTTGTCTTATTCCTTCCTCCAGAAATTGATAATTATCATTGTGGTAGTAGTTGTGTTGATGGGCATTTTAGCATTGATTATTGGACTTTCCGTTGGGCTGAAGTAAGAGTGGCCTAAAGGGCTGTTGCACTGAAATGTAAGTAAATGAATGGTTTGTGGGGATTCTGGATTGGCTCATCATGAGGAAATTAGCCTGAGATTTCAAATTCTACTTCTTTCCTCTAATGACTGTCCTTGTGCACAACGAACTTTCTAAAACTTTTGGTAGCCTGTGGATTCTTTCATTTCCTTTTCAGGTTCTGACTGTAGTATGTGGACTAGATCTTATGTTTGTTCTTATCCTGCAGATTCTGTCTCTACTCTCTGTCTTGTCACGTTTTGCACCTCTCCTGGCATATCTGAGCACTCCATTTTACTCTCCTTACTAGGAAGTGTGGGTGGATGCTGAGTACAATTTATGTATTGGATCTGTAGTTTGTCTTCTGAATACTTACTGACTTTCACTGATGTTGGGTTTTGCTTTCTTTAAAAAAATTTTTTTGGGGGGCGTCACTTTCTATAACCTTTTCTGTGTATTGGGTTTGGGTCCCTTAAGAGTTTAATTGTGGCTGACTGGTTGGATTTTTTTTTTGGTGGTACTTGGGTTTGAACTCAAGGCCTCCCACTTGCTAGGCAGGTGCTTTACCACTTGAACTACTCCACCAGCCCTTGGTTGGATCTTGTATGAGGTAATGGCTAACATTTTTGAGTACTGAGTTGTGGCAAAGAATCTGTTAAGCCTTATACGCATAACACTGAATCTTTGCAACACCCTTATGGGAGACCTAGTAGTATTATGTATGTTTTACAGATAGTGAAACTCAGTCTTAAATAGAAGTTAAGTAACAGGGCCAAATAGTGGACCTATTTACTACATCTTAGCTTTTCTTTGTAAAATAAGGTAGCTATTTATCACTGATTACAAAGTCTAGAGAACCTGAGAGGATAGTGGCTTTAACATTTAGGTTATTAAGTTTTAAAAATTTGTTAAATGAGAAACAGCTAACCACTAAATCAGGTTTAATAGAAGTTAACATTATAAGAATGATATGGTTATTGGAACTATATGACTTTTAAGATGCTTTTTCTGAAGATAATATAGCCTGTATTTTTTAAAACAGCCTATAAATTACAGAAAAATAAAGCAATTAACTTTCAACATTATTGCTGACAACCTGAGGCATGTTCACAACTCAGTTTTACATAGTTCACACTATATTAACTAGGCATGTACCCAGTTATAAAATCATAGGCATGATTCCATATTGCTAAAATCTCTTTGTAAATCCAATTTTCAGCATGAGATTGTGGATATACTCAAATAGTTAACACTTCCTCAATGTTGGAGTTTGTTATTGTTTTTCTGTCTCTAGCATTGTAACTAACTTTTTATAATAGTGTTTTCATTTTTACTACCTTTGTATTGTAAATTCACAGAAGTTGAGTGAGATAACAGATACAAGCCTTTTTTTTTTTTTTTTTTGATACTGGGAATTGGACCCAGAGCCTTGTGCACACTGGGCAAGTGCTCTACCACTTGAAACATGCCCCAGTCCTTTTGAGCCTCTGCCTCTCCAGTAGCTGAGAATATAGGCATGTACCAATGTGGCTGGATAAGATACAAGTATTTTAAGACCTACTGCATACTTACATGTTGATACCTATGGCTGATCCTTCATTTCAATTTTGCTCCAGTGTGTCTCTTCATTCCTCTCCTTTCCATGTGACCAGAAGGTCTGAAGTCAGATTATTATCTCACTAAATATGCAATTTGATTTTAAGAGGTAAGCAGCAATAAAGTAACCAGTCTTCATAGGTATTTAATTGTTGGTACTTTTCTCCCCCTCTGGTATTTAGAGTCTAGTTCTCATTGACTTTTTGCTTATAAATCTTGATTTTTGTTCTGAGTCTTAACTACCCCAATGGAAAATATGCTAAAATAACTAAATATGATAATGTTTCCATATGCTTGGGTGAAAGATGTTTTACAAATTCATGATGCCCCTTAACCATTCCTAATTCTAGGAATTCAGAGTGCAAAAGAATCATTTTTGAGGAGGTGACTCCTTAAAGTTGAGACTAATACACTGTTTTTAATTGACTAACTTAATCTCTGAAGATGGTAAATTGCTGAGCAGTTAGTAGCTTATCATAGTTTATTCCATATTCTCAAATAAAGTCAAGACTGTTACCTATGTATGGACTCACTCCTCCATGTCACCCAGGAGAGCAAGGTCTCTGAACAGGAGGGAAGGCAATCAGTGTTCATACTTGGCAGTTGAATGCCAGCTATAGATCTAAGATACTGTCAGTATTCCCAATTTACAGATGTGGAAGTTCTTTGAAGCTCAATAAAATTAAGAAACTTGCCTAAGCTTGCATAGCTTATAAGATGGAGCAGCTTTAGTATGACCCTTGACTGTTTCCATATTCTTTTCATTGTGCCTGCCTGCTTTCTGAGAGAAAGAGAGGGAAGGTGGCTCATGGAGATTTTGAGTACTAGAAAGCTTCTGAAGCTTGTATTCAGAGGGAGCTTCCACGGATCAGGCACAGAAAAGGTGTTTTCAACCTGGGATGTGCTCTACACCCACATCCTTCCATAGGTGTGTGACAGCCTAGGTCACATAAGCTTATAAAAGGCCTAGTAATTAAAAAAATTTTTTTTATCATAATAGAGATCTTTGTTCTTTTACAGTGAAATATTTAATTACGGATCTAGCCTTAGCTTGTCTTTTGGCTTTTTCAAGTTTATTGCTGACTTCTGCATTGTTCTCCTTTTGCAGTTATTTTTCCAATCTTTGCTACCAGCCTTCTGGGTTGTGGCCAATTCCTCCCATTGCTCCTCACCATCATCCTGTACATTGATAAGTTCCTCCTCTCCCTGCCTTAGAACCTGATTTCACTCCAGCCTGCTGTGTCCACGCTTGTCTTCAGATGGGAACAGAGTCTGAATGGCCTTCCTGAGAGCGAGGGGGATCCACCCGTTCCTTTGTTTCCTTGTGACCATCTTTGGACCTGACTCAGCAAACAGTGTAACCCTGGCAGAATTTAATCTACCTGACGCAACCCTGAGTTCTCTTCAAAATCACCTCCTGCCCCACCAACTGAAGTACCTTCCCTCCTGGTGTATATGAACCAACCCAGCTTTTTTCCTTCCTCTTGTGTCCTATTATGTCTTGTACCTTGGAAAGCTCATGTGAGATGGTCCAAGCTGCTGTATTGTCTACCTCATGGAGTATTCTTCTCCCAGAAATTACAATGGATTTTTTTTCTAGGAGAGTATCTTTAATGAAGCAGAAGGATTCTTCTAAGTTTAGCCACATTAGGCTTGGATTAGAGTCTTCTCCCTGGCAGGATGCCAGTCCTCATGTTTGTTGTCCTATGTCCTGAAAACATGAGGGACCAGCAGATGCCATTTTGGTCTGAAAAGTTAACTTGTTTGAAAGTCAGACTTAAATTAAACTTGGAGCCAATATGCTCTTTCTCTATGTTGAATTCTCTCATGTTTACTCAAAGAGGAGTCAAGATGACAGTCATCTGACGTTACCATTTGCAAAGGCTGTGGGTGTGGAACATTTGTTTCCATATCTGAGTCTTGGAAGCTGGCTGTTCATTGTTAGAGTTTCTTTTGAAGGCACTGCCTTGAAGCCAAAAATAATGAGGGATTTCAAATTGGGCTGGGAACAAGGTGCTAGTTTCAGGCTCTGGGAATGTCTCATGAGACTATGTGAGTATTCAGTCACTCAAGAATTCCAGGTGTACTTTTATAATTATGTGTGTGAGATGTATATATGTTACGTGTGTTTGTTTCTCAGGAAGTAGAAAGCTAAAAGGGGAGGATACTATGTGCTTAAAAAAAAAAGTAGCTCTGAGCTAGGCTAAAAATTAGGTAAGAGACATACCCTTCCTGCAAATGACTCACTGCAGAAATACTACCTTCCTATGCCATCAAGAAGTTTGTTTTCAGAATGGGTACTGGGAGAATCAAATGAGATCTCTGAAGTGAGGACTGAGATGATCCCCACTAACTCAGATAGATAGTGGAATGTTTTGATGCTTTCCCCATCCGCTTCCTGCACGAGGCTTGTCTTGAGTACATCCCGTAACAATCAGACATTATTTACACGAACCAGGGATGTCCTCTCTGGGGCTGAGTCATTTGGGAGAGATCAGACACAGAGTAGCTTTTACTGCTACTTGGTTAATGAGCTTGACAGGTTGTCTCCCTCAATCCTTAACATGGAGGAAGCAACAGCGAGGAAATCTCCAAGTGTGACTGTAACCCAATGGTGAGCCCCTTAAATCTCTACTGGTCTTTGGGTACTAGTTGTATTTTAGCTTTAATGTAAATGCTTCCTAGGGTAGAGTGAGCACCTTACTCAAGGCACTGCCCATCAGTTTCCTTTGCATAGGCTCCTTATCTAGTCATCCCCAGCACTCAGACAGAGCCATAGGGATACCCTCCTCCCTGTGGCTATGATGTCAGACAGGGAACAGGCTCCAGCAACAGGGGTACAAACTCTTAATCACGTCTTTGCTCTCCTCCGAGATACAGGCCTTCAGATGTTTAGAATACAACATGTGAAGGGTTTTTTGTTTGTATTTTTTTAAATGTAAACTTGATTATTTTATTGCTAACTTAAAAATAAATGGCTTCATATTGATTGTGAAACAATTCTGGCTGTATCTCCCTGCAAAACATATGGTGATTTAGTGCCACCATGTGGTGGTTTTTGTTCAGGTTTTGGAATGTAGTTAAAATCTTTTTAAACCACATGGTTCAAAAGTTCAAAAATGAAAATGGTTTAACTCCCAAGGAATGCAGTGTAACTGTATTTAAGTTTCAGAAAGTTGAGGAGCTGTGCCGAAAGAATTTGGTTTACTTATAGAGAGCCCTTCCTCAAGGAGGTGGTGGGGAGATATGTTGGGATGGTATCCAGAAGGCACGGAAGATAATATATTCAACATCCACTGACATCCCTGTTGGTCTAATTTTGACTTTGTCATCTGGAAACATTCCTATGAACATTCTGGGTTCCAGAAGCCAGATCCATCCCTTTTTCCTTCTGGTGTTCCCTTTCCCCTTATACCTTCCTCCATGTCCAGATCCAACTGTCTCCTTTTGGCCAGGAATGTCTACCTACACAGTAATGTCATTTCTCATGTGCTTTTTCTTTCCTTGTCTGGATGAGCAGAAGAAGATCATGATCATGATCTGCTGTGTTATCCTTGCAATCATCTTGGCTTCTACCATTGGGGGCATATTTGCTTGAAAAAGGTGAGCCATCTGGGGAGGGTTGGAGGCTTTCACTGTTTTTCACCAGGTGCCCTCATCTGGGTGGGTTTGGGTGCTGAAGTATATAAAGGTTAGATAAAACTAAGGACAGAGGTGTTTCAGGGTGATTGAATGAGTTGGAAGCAGGCAGTTGGTGGGGGGAAAGGGTAAACAGAAGGTGGCGATCTGTTCCATAACTGGGTCTGGTGGCAGAATACTTTGAATAGGTCAAGGATGCTGATTCCTGCTGTAAAATATGAGCCTTGGTATCTGGGAATGGCAAAAGGAGCAAGAATTAGTTCTAGCTTTAGGTAGACCCTGAATCTTTGAAAGAGGACCACACAGTAAAGCTGCATTACATTTCTTCCCTTCCAAGCTTAGGACAAGTTGGTGCAGCCTTGTCAGTAATCTATTACACCACAGAAGAAAAGTGGTGTGGTGATCCAGGCCATGAGCACTATGCTGTATAGTCTGATTTTTTTTCCTCCCGTTCAGTCTTCTGTTATCTCCTTCTGCCCTCACAGATGGATCCTCGACTGGCATTTCTAACCCTTCCTCCACCTCTGTGGTGCCATCACTTCACCACTGCAGACGCATCAGCTACACCTCTTTTCATTAGGAAACTTATGACAGGGCACCAACCAACTGCTTATTAAAATTTATGTGAAGGAAGAACAAATTTATGAAAATATAGAATTGGGCAGGGGTTGTGAAGGAACGGGGAGTACAGCAACATACAGCTGGTTCAACTGCATCTAACTGATGACACTCAGAGCCTAACTGCCAGCATGTGATGAAGAGACAGTTGTAGTACATCCAGTTCAACAGGGTCTAATCCGAGCTATTGTTCAGTTGATTGAGGTCAGGGCACTTGTTACTTCTGCTCTTAAGGCTATTGTAGGTCTCACCTTTGACAAACTATACATCTGCTTCCTTCTTCAGGGTCCAACAGTAGTCTTCAAAGTGAGGACTGTTGGAGAATAGGCATGATGAATATCCCTGCTCACTGCTGTGTTCCTACTGCTTAGCACAATGCTTGTCACTCACAGGTGCTGAAACATCTGATGATTTAAAATTATCTATAATCAAGCTCTGATTTAATTCATGGATGAGTTCTTAAGTTTCTACTTTTAAACTCTAAGGCATCAGTGAGAACATGGTTTGTTATTATCAGACGCTGTGTAAAGCTGCCTGGGAATAGGCTGATCCACTTATGCAAAAATGCTATAATAGTCCTTATCAGCACAGAATATACTTTAAAAAGCTTTTTTTTAATAGGTGGTGATGGTAGAGGTCTAGGAATAGCCTCTCATTTGGCAGAGAAGATGGATGGTCACAGGATGTGGTTCATTAACTAAACATAAACCTCCAACAAAAGAAACAGGCTATGCTATGCCTGAATTCACAACAATTAACGAAGCCACACTGTGAGATACAGAGCAAAGAAAGGCTCAAGGTGTTAGGTAAAAAGGTATAGCAAAGCTGTCACTTCAACTCTCACCTGACCCATGTTGTTAGTTAAAACTGTTGGCTAGTGATATATGTGCAAGAAACTATTTCAAACATAACCCCCAGTTCAAGGTTCAGTTGTGTTTAAAACTTTAAAACTATCAATTCTAATACAAATAACTTATTTAGAAATCATTATATTGTAAGAGATTCACTAAAAAATATATTTAAGAAGTCAGTATACAACTCTTGAGGACCATCAAATTGTTTAGACAAATTCATAGTATTGGAAGTAAATTAAATTCTTTTGTCACTGGAGATCTTTTTAAAACAGTATTTTTAATTTGGCAGTACTAGGGTGTGAACTCAGGCCTTGTCTTTGCTGGGTAGGCATTCTACCACTTGCACTGCAACAGTCCTCTCCTTTTTTGGTTATTTTTCGGGTAGGGGCTTACATTTTTGTCCTAGCCAGCCTCAAGACCACAATCCCACCTATGGCCTCCCCTTTAGCTGGGGTCACAGGTATATGCCATCGTGCCCAGGTTATTGATTGAGATGGGATCTAACTTTTTGCCTGAACTGGCCTTTAACCTGAATCCTCCCAATCTCTGCCTCCTGTGTAGCTGGGACTACAGCTGTGAGCCACTGTGCCCAGCCTTTAACTGGAGATCTTATTTTTTAAGAAAGTGGGATAAAAAAATGACATTCTCGTAAGTGTGCTGTTTTCTACCCGCTTTCAAAAGCAAGTGGTTTAATATTTTTATCAATTTGTATTTCCTTTAGCTTGATTAGGAGATAAAAGACTATCACTATCTAGCTCTGATAGATTAATCGTGTTATAGCCAAATAGGGAGCTGGAACTATGGGGTTTTGGATCACATGGGACCATTATTCCTCCAGCAATGGTAATTTGTGTGCTATACAGCACATGGCACTGTACTAGATCCTCCAGGGACACAAAGATAGATCCAAATACACTCCCTCCTTGGAGAATCTCAAACATAGAAAGCACCACACAATTTCAACTTTTGTTATCAGTTCCTTTTCCTAAAAGATACATTCCGTGTCATATTGTCCAACATCTCCCCTTCCAAGACTGAGAAGATGGGGTAACTGGGCACAAATAAATATCTGTTAACTCCATTAACGTATGTATTGCCATTTTTTTCTTAGTTATTCCAAAAATGTGTTTGTAAAAGGTAAAATGTCTTAGAAACTAGCTTTTAAAGTGTGCACACATAAAAGACAGTGCACACATTAAGTAAGACTTGCATAGGATGTATGAGATGCAAACAATTTTGTTTTAGCTCTGAAGACATTTATTTTTCAATCCAGGAAAACCAAGAGTTCTTGCCAATCATCCCAAAGAGTAAAGGACTGAAAGTGACCAGTGAGAAGTTATACCCTGAGGTGATGCTCAAACTTTCATTTAAAAAATCAACAGATAACACCATTTTTCAGAAATCACCATCTCATTTGTTGCTCTGTAGTTCTGACCAAAGAGCCACCCAAAGACTTTAAGGGTAGGCAGAGAAGAATAAAAATGCAGAATCCTTGTTTCAATAGTCTACATACATGTACTCCTTGGGCTCTTGCTATACACGTTCCGGCATGTAGAACTTGCCCCAGTATCTCCCCTTGTGGGTTAAGTCATATGGACTCAGTACTTTCCGTATTCCCTGCATGTTGGCAGTGGCTAGGCGCTCAAAGGTCCAGGGGTTTTGGTTGTTACGTTCTCTTTCCTCTTGATCTTGTCGCATCTTCTCTAGAGTCTTCCGGCTCACAGCCTTCGCTGGGAAGGGCAACTTGTGGGCCACTTGGTCCAGGAAACCTTGTACCTCTTTGAATTCACAGCGCCCACCCAACTCTACTATAAGGCGGCCAGCCTTCACGGGTGTCACATAGTGGTCAATGGCACCTTTGCCTCCCCCCATGCGCTGCCCGACACCTTTGCGGGTGATAGGCTTGAAAGGTGCTGGTAGTCGCCATATAGCAAACATGTTCTTGGGGTCCATAGAGCGGTTGATTGTCAGGCGCATCATTTCAAAATGGCCCCAATGGAGGTAACCACCTCCCAGTGCCTAAATGTGAATGGAAGAATTAGAGACACATGGGGACTCAGATACCTTTTATTTTGTCTCTCCTTTTATAGTTTCTATGGCTTCAATGATAGACATGAAAATAAAAGTGTATGTTCTGATGTGGAGGAAAGGCCTAGGGTACAGTAATAAAGGAAAGCAAGGGAGGAGAGTAAGAAGGCCTCTTTGAGGAGGTGACATTTAAAGCTGAGGACAGAATAATACAAACTAGCCAAGGGAAAAGACGGCATTCTAAGCAGAGGAACAGCTAATGTGGAGCCCTGACAAAGCAAAGGGCTTGGTGAGTATGAGTAGAAGCTAGTGTGGCAGGAGTAGAGGAAGAGGGAAGGAGCAAAGTGGGTATGAGTTTCTGAGAGGTCAGTACTAAGAAATGTCACTCTATGCTGCCAGATGGAACATAAATCCTGTTGCATACCCATTTGTCAGGCTACTGACATTAAGTCTTTATGGAAGCTACTTAAAAGTAAGGAAACAGCTATCCCTTATCCTAACTCAGATAGTTTTACCAGAGGCTTGAAGAGACCTCCTGATCTTACTGGGAAAATTAGATCGCCTCTTTCTTCTTCTGCTTTTACATTACAGTAGTCCCTACCTCCCATCTGCACTTTCACTTTCTGTTGTTTCAGTTACTGTTGTCAACCACAGTCTGAAAATATTAAATGGGAAATCTTTTTTTCTTTTTTTTATCTTGAAATAAGTAATTTCTAAATTTTAAACTGTATGCTGTTTTGGTAGCAAGACAAAAATCTCATATAGTTGTCCTCCACTCCATTCTACTTGGATGTGATTCATCTCTTTGTCCAGTGTATCCGTACAGTATATAGACTCCTGTATGTTAGTACTTAGTAGTCATTTAGGTTATTAGATCAAATGTCACATTATCACAATGCTTAAGTATACAATTCAGTATATTTCTTAGTCTTAAGCATCCAGTGGAGGATGTGGAGCATATGTTCCAAGGATAAGGTGGGGAATGTCACTATATTTTCAACTCTACATTAAAAAGAGGTAACTAATTTGTTTACTAAGTACCTAGTAGCCTCTGTGTACATCAGTTTAAAAAACAACAGGCAAGTGGCTTCTGTGTGAGGCAGTGCTAATAAAAACTCTGTGGGAAGAGACTAGAATTAACTCAAAGAATACAAAATTTTGTCCATCTCTAGATTTCATCACTCACCAAGATGGCGAAATTGCCTTCTGTGAACCCAGTAGCTTCAATGGAAGGTCCCCGTATGTCATTCAAGTTTTTAGGTTCTCTTCTTATTTTTGGCACAAGTGGTACCCTTTCAACAAATTTAAGCTTGGGTTTTTCAGGAATGGAAACATCTAAAAAGAGCACAGACCACCAAGAATAAATACAACTACACACCTCAAAGGATCCACTTTCTTCCTAGAAAGATCATCAAGTTCAAGTTTCAGAAAGTTATCATTGAACAATAATTCAAAGGTGTATTACATTCTTCTTGTGGATGATTTTAGTGACACTGGAATCTTTTGGCTATGACAATGCTTAATGCAAATGTTGCTAAACCTTTGAAGACAGCAAAATTTTAACCTTCAAATCAAAATGTACTTACTAGCTCCTGACTCTGTGCTTAACACTTATAAGAGGGAATGTTTGGAAATCACTCTTCATTTAATCTTTAAGGCAACTTTCTAACAGCCAAGATGCCCCACAACTGATGAATGGATTAAGAAAATGTGGTATTTATATACAATGGAATTTAAAGAGGAATGAAATTTTGTCATTTGCCGGTAAATGGATGGAACTATAGAACATCATCTTGGTTCAGAAAGCCAAGGGCTGCATGTTTTCTCTCATATGTGGAACATATGAGCCCAATACAAATATAAGCAATATTATATATACATATAAATATATATAGAACATGTACTCAAAAGCAGTACTGGTAGAAGAGACTAAAGGAAGAGGAAGAGAAGGAAAGAAAGATAGCGAGTAATAATGAAATATACTACATCTGTGTAGGAACAAGTGAAACACACTGAAAACTGCTGAACAACACAGGATACAGGGAAAAGGGCAAGAAGTGCAGTGGAGGGGGATTATACTGACTTAAGCCTGATGCCCGTACCGTTATAATACCAAGGCAAAACCACTGAACAACAAACAAACACCTAAACAATGAAGGACAAGAATGAAAAACAGGTCATGCTAAGGGGAAAGGGAGGGTAAAAGAAGGTGAACATGACTGATGTACTTTCTATACAAAAATGAATACAGAATATTTAAACCTGTTGAACTCTCCATAAGAAGGGGACTAAGGCAGAAAAGAGAAAAATGGAGGGATGAACCAATTTGAGATATAATTACATATATACATGGAAATGTCATAATAAAACTCCCTGTACAGCTTTCTTAAACAAACAAAAAATACCTTTTTCTAAAAATGAAGGACAGGAAGGAAAAACAGGTCCTGTCTGGGGATAGGCACCAGTGGGAAGGAGAAATACATAAGGAAAGGGTAAAGGAGAGTGAATATGGTGGAAATATTATGTACTCATATGAAAATGGAATAGTGAGACACGTTAAACTATTCTAAGAAGGGGAGAGGGAGGAGAAAGGAGAATGATAGAAGGGGTGACTCTATCTAAGATATAAACACTTTTGTAAATGTCAATATCTTCAGTACAACAATAATATGCTAATAAAAAACTTTGTAGCCTTTAAAAAAACTTTTAACATATATATCAAAGGGCCAAATTCATTCAGATCAAGAAACAGAACATTACGCAATTAGTATTTTTAATCTGTTTTATAAAAGAGGACCCTGAAACCTATTTTATAATTTGGTCCATTCAGCAAAGCAAACAGCCAGATTTTGCTTTTAAAAAGATACTTCACTACCTCTCTGGATGTTTGTGGGGGGGTGGTGTAATGGAAAGAATACTATATTGTACATAAAAATATCTAAGTTCTCTAGCTCTGCCACATTTTTGATGGGAAAATTACAACCTAGGAATCCTCTGATCAATCTGATCAATGCTCTTTTATGTTGACCAGCTCAGTTCCTACAGTGTGGAACGTGGCACAATGTCAGGCCAGACATGTAACATCTTTGCCAACTTTTTTTTTTTGGCAGCACTGTGACTGCTAGGCATGGACTCTACCACTTGAACTATGCCCCACCCATGCCCCATCTTTACAATAATTAACTTATCATTCATTAAAATATTTCTGTAGTGGGCTGAGGTGTGGCTTAAACAGTAGCGTGCCTGGTTTACAAGTGCAAAGGCATGAGTTCAAACCCCAGTCATCACCCTCAAAGGAAAAATAGCTCTGTAGTGAAATAAGTATGGCTCCATGACTGAAATAAATATAAAATAGGAAACCTCAAGGAAATATCAGGTTATCAGTGGAACTATAAAATTATTACTATTCCAAGTTATAAGAACTATCCCCCAGCTTCTGTATACAACTACAGAGAACCTTGTAAGGCTTTCTTTTGTCTACAACTCAGAATGTATTTCCAAGTTAACACAGCAGTTCAGCAATATGTGTAGAAGGTAAGTCCCTTGGATGTTCAGGCCTCTTGCATTTTTTTGGTTGAGGTTTCCAGTATATTAAAAAAAAGTGGTAAATCAGACTGACAAAATCGTGGCTTACTTTAAATGTTTACATTTAATAAATTAATGCTTTCACCTAATATTGTCAAATGCAATCACATTTGGAGAGACTACCATAAGTCTAAATTTGAGGTCAAGTAGCTCTGGCTGAGTGGAGCACGGGTCACACGCTAGTGGTAGGCTGTAAAAGACCTAACCCAGAAGATATGTGCTCTGTAAGAGCAGTGATGTTTTATGGTTTCTTTTGTTCTTTATCTCTAGTGCTTAGAACACTGTTTGGCAGCATAGTATGCCTTCAATACATACTTATTGAATGAGTGAATTGAGATAGGAAGCACAAGAACATTCCTATGACTTCTACACTGCTAGGTTCCATCAGAGAAAAGACTTACAAATAGGAGAACGACAGACATGCTCTCACCTTCATAAGTTGGCACCGGAAGCAGCGTCTTCAGGCCAGCGCTGGCGGGAAGGGCTGTCCAAGAGTCTACAAAGACAAATCAAGTCAAATAACCAAACGACACGGCCAGGGTTAGGCATGCTTCCTAACAGAGGTGACTAGAGGTCTGGGACGTGGGTTACACTACACGGGCTCCCAGGCTCAGGGCCCCAGACACGGCTGCGACGGAGGCGTCCCTTCGGTGGAAAAACGCAGCCGCTAACAAGTGCGTCGGCGAGCACAGAGCCGCCTTCGTGTTCGGGACAAAACATGGGGCATGTTAAGGATCCAAAGGGATGTCTGACCTGACAAGGGCACCCGCAGGAGGGGCCCGCTGGCGCGAGCCAGCACCCTCCACATGATCACAAGCGCCCAGCTAAGCCAGGTCCCCCACAACCACGACAGAGGCTCCTTTCACCCAAGTAAAGAGCAGCGCTGCAGAGCCCAGCCGGAATCAGCAAGCAGCACCGTTTTGCCGGGCCGGAAGTTGTGCTCACGCTAGTCCAGTCCGCAAAGAGTTCTGACGGAAGGGGAGGAAACTCGAGCCTCGAAGCTTCGTTCCGGAGCTTCGTTCTGCGGATTAAGGACGCGGTGTACTGGCCACGCCCAGCGCTCCGGCAGGCTTAGGCGTTTTCCAAACCCGGTACAATCGCGGCCTGGGGTTCGCTAGGCAAGTCAGTCCCTTACCTTCGCCGCATTAGGCCCCTCTCGAGGAGAGACACTGGGAAAATTCCAGGTATTTGTCATTGGCCTCACATTAACGGGGCGCTTGCAAGTTGTCAGGCGCCGACGGCCCTCTTTGTATTTGATCCTCCCATCAGGTCCATGAGACAAGTCGTTACACTTTTGCAGATTCCATCCCGAGCCCCAAACGATTTAACCTTTTTAGGCTCACACCACAGGAAAAACGGTGCAGTCAGTTCGAGCAACAGTCTCTATCTGACTTCGAGACCCCAGTGACCAGATAGTACCATAACTTAATCTCAAGGGAAAATGAGTTAATCTATAACTATTCGGGGAGAATGTTGGGCAAATCATTTTTATAAACCTGAAGCTTTCTAATAATTAGAATGAGAGAGGATTTTTTTTCTAAGCCTATAAGACACAAACGGGATTAGCAAATCGAGGCTGATGTCTATTGTGCTTAAATCATATTAAATCTTTAGGCGGCCTTTCTCCAAGGATTAGTGTCGCAAACAGGCAACAAATAAAACCTGTAACACTTGCACAGGTACTGGGAAAAACTGTTTCCCTGCATACTGAGTCTGCGTCCAACAGTTAACAGACTTGTTAAAGCCGCCCTAATGACCTCACTTTTTTTTTATACCGTTTGTATTTATTTATTTAAAATTAATTTTAAAAATTATTCATTTATTCACATGTGCATACATTGTTTAATTAATTGGTTAATGACCTCACTTTTAACTTGATTATCTCTGCAAAGACCCTATCTCCAAATAAGGTCACATTCTAAGGGACTATATCTTTTTGAAGGGAAGCAATTCGGTCCAAAACAGGTGCTATCCCAGGAGAGGTCAGAAAGGGTGAGAGAACAGGACAAATGAGATCTTAGTTGTCTGGTAAAAGTTTAAAATGAGGTAAAAGTAATATGTTTTGCCACTATTTCTCCACTTAGAGCAGGGCTCAGCTGGAAGAGGGGAACAACTTTTCTTCTAAGTGTAATTCAGAGTCATGTTGCAAAGTATTAGACATTTTAGCTACTAAAATGGGAATGTTTTCTGTGATTAGAGTGACAGTGCAAAATTTAAATTTATTTTTAAATTGAAGCGTAATGAGAAAACACAAAAACAGCAACAACAAACAAACCAGCCTCACAGAGCAGGCTGGGTAAAAGTAGCAAACTAAAGTTGATTTCTATTATTATTATTATTTTTTGTGGCACTGGAGCTTGAACTCAGGGCCTATGCTTGCTAGCCAGGTGCTCTATCACTTGAGCCACTCCGCCAGCCTAAAGTTGATTTCCCATCACATTCCCTGAGAGCTGCTTATTATAACTTCCTGTTCATAGGTTTGTTTTTATTCTTTAATAATGAGTGATATCAAACTTTATCTTGTGTTTTTGATACATATTTTAGTGTTTGTTTTCTGCATTTGCTATTTGTATACTTTGTTTTTCACTTGCACAGCTGGCTTTTTCTTATCCATTCAAAACTGTGTTATTTATTAAGTATATTAATTTTTGTCTGGTTGTATATATTTTACTTATATTTTTCAGGCTGCAATCTTAGGTTTTTTATGGTATGACCATTTACAGTTTTCTGTCAGTAATTTAAGTTTTAAAATTTTTATTGACACGTAATTGTACCTATTTATGAAGCAAAATGTAATGGTTCGATACATGTATACATGACTTAATATACTTCTTAGAAGGCGGGCGCCAGTGGCTCACACCTGTAATCCTAGCTACTCAGGAGGCAGAGATCAGGAGGATTGAGGTTTGAAGCCAGCCCAGGCAAATAGTTTGCGAGACCCATCTTGAAAATACCCATCACAAAAAGGAGTGGCTCAAGGTGAAGGCCCTGAGTTCAAGCCCCAGTATTACAAAAAAAAAAAAAAAATGCCTCTTAGAGATAAGGTAGCGCTCTAACAGAACTCTCCATATTGAAAATTCCCATTTAATATGTGACTTTATAATGTGCTACTTTATAAAGATTCACCCAGGGTCTTACACAAGTTAGGCAAGCATTCATACCACTTGAGCCATGCCCCAGTATATATATATTTTTTTGGCATTTTGCTTGAGAGATAGGGTCTTGTTAATGCTGCCCAGGTTGGCCCTAAACTCATGATCCTTCTGCCTCAGTGTGTTAAGAATCTGCAATTTCACGCATGTGCTGCCACACTGGTTTATACTATGCTAAATTCTTACATAACTTCTGGGGTCCCTTTTGATATCTTATTCCATTCCCACGTTCTAAGACTAGTACTGTGCTGTACTTAATTACTGTGACTTTCTTACATGTAGTCAAGTTTATATGCTTAGTTAAGTTCTTCATTTTTTCATTCTACTTTACCAAAGCCATCATGGTTGTTTCACATGTTTGCTCTTCAAGACAAAACTTAGAACTGTTTTGTTAAGTTCCAAACTTTCTATTATATCTCTTTTCAAAAAAATTTAATCCCAGAACCATTTGCATTTCTGAGTAAGACTCAAGGCCTTTTTAATCTTAAAGTATTTTGTGTTCTCAGTTGGAAGGGATTGGTGTGTCATGTGTTTGGTCTCAGGTCTGTAAGAATGTGTTATCTTCAGTCATGTACTTGAAAATCATGTACTTTACATATCTAGTTATAAGCAAGTACAGTTGCATATAGTTCTTAAAGAAGGAAAAGATATTTGCTACCAGTCTTCCCTCCTTCCTTCCCTGCATCTTTACATATTTGTAACTAGTTTTAGTTAGGTTTAATTGACCACTCCTCTAGAGAAAGTTTAGGGTTTTCCATCTGTGGCCAGTAGAGGTCACAAAAGAGGTTTTTATAATCACTGAACCCCAAACCAAATACTTGCTAGGGATTGTGCATTATGTAACAATGAGCATAGTATATGGTTATGATTGGAGGGGATGGGATAAGGAGGATAGTTAGGCTTTAACACATTCATTTGGTAAGCTAGCTTATTATAAGCAATATACATATCTCAGGTATACATTTTGTTTTGTTTTTGAGACAGCATTTTGCTGTGTAGCCCATGCTGGCCTTGAACTCCTAATCCTCCTCTCTTTGTCTCCTGAGTGCTGGTTTTATGGGCAATTTCTGCCACTCCCAGCAAAAATACAGTCTTAAAACTTTTCCCAATGAAGGAGATTTTAGATGAGACCAAACTCGTTTTATTTATTTTTTATTGTTTATTCATTTGTTCATGTACATACATTGTTTGGGCCATCTCTCCTCCCTGCCCCCAGTCCCGTCCCTCTCCGTATGACCCCCCTCGCTTCCAGGCAGAACCCTGTTCTGCTCTCTTCTCCAGTTTTGTTGAAGACAAAACATTAAGAGATAATAAGAAAGACATAGCATTTTTGCCAGCTTGAGATCAAGATAGCTATACAGAGAGATTCCTAGTGTTGCTTCCATGCACATGTGTATTACAACCCACATTGGTTCATCTCTACCAGACCTCTTCACTACTTCCCAGTCACATTCCCATAGTGGCCTCTGTCAGTTTAAGATTATTTTATTCACTCCTCTACAGTGGGCACATCAAACACTTTCAAGTTTTAGGTTTCCTTCCCTTTCCTTATTCCTCCTGAATGCATTCTCCCCTTAGCATGTGACCCATGCCCAATAATATTACTGTATTTGTTTTAGGTCTAAAGTCCACATATGAGGGAGAACATGCGATTTTTGGCCTTCTGAGGGTGGCTGACTTCGGTTAAGATGATGTTCTCCAGTTCCATCCATTTACTTGCAAATGACAAAATTTCATTATTCTTTGTTACTGAGTAAAATTCCATTGTGTCTAAATACCACATTATCTTAATCCATTGATCAGTAGTGGGGCATCTTGGCTGTTTCCATATCTTGACTATTGTGAATAGTGCTGCAATAAACATGGGTGTGCAGGTGCCTTTGGAATAACCTGAGTCACATTCCTTTGGGTATATCCCTAGGAGTGGTACTGCTGGATCATATGGCAGATCTAGTTTTTTAAGAAGCCTCCATGTTGTTTTCCAAAGTGGTTGTACTAGCTTACCACTCCCAGCAAAAATACAGTCTTAAAACTTCCTACCAGCAGTGTATAAAGGTTCTTTTTTCCCCACATCCTCACTTGTTGGTGGTGTTTTTGATGATGTTGAATCTTTGTGTGGTTTTGATTTGCATTTCCTTTATGGCCAGGGATGGTGAGCATTTTTTCATGTGTTTTTGGCCATTTGGATTTATTCCTTTGAAAAAGTTCTATTTAGTTCAGTTGCCCATTTATTTCTTAGTTCATTGATTTTTGGGAGTTTAGTTTTTGAGCTCCCTGTATGTTCTGGTTATCAGTCCTTTGTCTGATATATAGCCAGTGAATATTTTCTCCCACTCTGTGGATGGTCTTTTCAGTTTAGAGACCATTTCTTTTGTTGTGCAGGTTTTTAATTTCATGTAGTCCCATTTGTCCATCCTTTATATTAGTTGCTGGGCTGCTGGAGTTCTATTGAGGAAGTCCTTGCCTATACCTGTTGCTTCCAGAGTAGTCCCTGTTCTTTCCTGAAGTAACTTCAGAGTTTCGGGTCTGATATTAAGGTCTTTAATCCACTCTGAGTTGATACTAGTACAGGGTAGTAGGCCTGCATCTAGTATCAGTTTTCTGCAGGCAGATAACCACTTTTCCCAGCAACATTTGTTGAAGAGGCTATCTTTTCTCCATCATATGTTTTTGGTGCCTTTGTCAAAAATAAGGTGGGCATAGCTGTGTGGATTCATATTTGGGTCCTCTATTCTGTTCCACTGGTCTTTATATCTGTTTTTGTGCCAGTAACATGCTGTTTTTATTGCTGGCTCTGAAATATAGTTTGAACTTGGGTATTGTGATACCTCCCTCCAGAATTGCTTTTTGCTGAGTATTTCCTTGACTATTCACAGTCTCTTGTGTTACCAAATGAACTTTAGGGTAGATTTTTCAATCTCTGTGATTAATGTCATTGGGATTTTGATGGGAATTGCATTGAACATGTAGATTGCTTTTGGTAGTGTAGCCATTTTTGTTATGTTGATTCTACCAATCCATGAGCGTGGGAGATCTTTCCACTTTCTGTAGTCTTCCTCGATCTCTTTCTTCAGGGGTTTGTAGTTCTCCTTGTAGAAAGGTCATTCATATCTTTTGTTATGTTTACTCCTAGGTATTTGATTTTTTTTGAGGCTATTGTAAATGGAATTGTTTTCATATATTCTTTCTCAATTTGTTCATTGTTGGTGTATAGAAAAGCTAATGATTTTTGTAAGTTGGTTTTTTATCCTGCCACCTTGCTGAAGCTGTTTATGGTGTCTAGGAGTTTTTGGGTAGAGTTTTTTGGGTCTTTGATATATAGGACCATGGCATCTGCAAATAGGGATTATTTTGACAGTTTCTTTACCTATTTGTATTCCTTTTATTAATTCTTCTTGCCTAATTGCTCTGGTTGGGAGTTCCAGGACTATGTTGAATAGAAGTGGGAAGAGTGGGCATCTTTGTCTCCTTCCTTATTTTAGGGGAAATGGTTCCAGTTTTTCTCCATTAAGTATGATGTTGGCTATAGGTTTTCATATATACCTTTTATAATGTTGAGGTACTTTCATCCTAGTCCTAGTTTTCTTAGAGCTTTTATCATGAAGTAGTGTTGAATCTCATCAAAGGCATTTTCTGTGTCTGTTGAGATGATCAAGTGGTTTTTATCTTGCTTCTATTAATGTGTTGTGTTACATTTATTGATTTGTGTATGTTGAACCACCCCTGCATCCCTGGGATGAAGCTGACTTGGTCATGGTGAATGATCTTTCTGATATATTGTTGGATTCAGTTTGCCATTATTTTATTGAGGATTTTTGCATTGGTGTTCATTAAGGAGATTGGCCTATAGTTCTCCTTTTTGGATGTGTCCTTGTCTGGTTTTGGGATGAATGTAATATTGGCTTTATAGAATGCAAACTCCTCATTTTACAGCTGAGGAAACTGACTTTTTAGTTAGAGACTTGTCAAAGTCACTCAGTTTGCTTATAGGCATGTACAGAATGACTGCTCAAAATCTTTTGATTCTGAGTCCAGATTTATTCTCACACTGTATCTGCAGACTATTTTTTCCAAAAATAGTTATTTTTTCCAAAAGAAACTTACATTTTCTGAACTGCAATAATAAATATAATATACATTTTATGTGCTGTGCTCTTTGGTGGGAATGTATTGGTAAGGAAAAGTGGTCCTTTCTTGTGGTATTGACCTCGAAAATAATGAGAAGAATCTCAGAGGTAAAGTCAAGTTTCTCTCTGATATATTTGTGCATGTAGTATTTAATTTTTGTTTAATTTTTTCAGAAATTTTGTGCTATTGTCTTTTAAAAAATCATTTATATTAATAAATCCCTTCACTTACTGTTTCTTCTTAGGAAATTACTGATGCTAAATGACCAACAGATAGGAATCAGAGACAGGAGAATCCAGAGAAGCATAACTTAGAAAACTTCTTAAACTGATTAATTATTCCTACATCCTTGTCTGTGTAGGAATAATAATGTAGATAATAACAATTGGAAGCCAATTACAAAATTGGAGACATATACAAATTTTGAAATAAGTCTTTGTAAATAGGCATCTTATGAATTAATGTGAGCACCTGCCTCAGGGTACTCACAGGTAAATTTAATTTTTTTGCAATACTTTCTCACTCATCACAGCACCCACTTTTATTTTTTAGTGTTTGCATACATAAATATATTTAAAGTCACTTCGTAAAGCAGGATTGCAACTTCTCATAGTTGATCTAGTGTCAACTCATTCCCCTGTCTCCAGCTTTGCAACTTCTCATAGTTGATCTAGTGTCAACTCATTCCCCTGTCTCCAGCTTTGCCAGCACTGATGAATGTGTACATGAACACACACACATGTGTACACGCTGTTAATTCATAAGTAGGTAGCTAAAACAAGGTTTTCACATATGGTATCAATGTGTAATTTCCCTCTCTTTGTTGCCTCCTCCCATATTTCCTCCAATTTCCTATCATTAAGACAAAGTTGGGGTGGCATTCTTCCATACACACACACACACACACACACACACACACACACACACACACACACGAGTTCTTTGGCTGCCCGATTTATTGTTAAACAAAATAGTCATTGTGGTGTAAAATGTTTCCCACTTTCCGTTGGCTCAGTTGTTATGTATCGAATAGACAAAACTTAAAAAAATAGTGAATCAAGCAAACAAAAACCCTAATCACCAGTACGTGTTACACACACATGGATAGGCACTAAATGGGCTTGTGTGGATGATAATCTAATGCTGTTGTGCAGTCTTCTTCATTCACCTGGCTATACATCATGAACTTCCTTTTGTGCTAACAAGTACTTATGTTCAATATGAATTTTAGAAACCTTATGTGTCCCACCATGTGATGGATGAGAGTTTATCTGTCCATCACACACTGTTGGACATACAGATGACTTCAATTTTTCCATACTACAAACATTGTGACATGCTATGAGAGAGCACCTGATTCACCACTCCTGAGGTTTCCTTCCATTATAATACAGTCCTGGCCTTTCACTGTGATAGAGTGATTTATTTAACACGTGTGTTTGTAATAAGTATCCGGGCTTGTGTGGCTCACAGTTCTTTCTCCTTGGAGCCAGACTGTTGCTGGAGAACAAGTTCTTGTTCTGTCATACCAGGATGGAAGACCAGTGACTGGGGAAATTCAGTCTATCTAATTCTGGGGTCCAGTAGTAGGAAGTATATTATGGCTATATGTCTAAGCTATGTTCTCTGTTAGTCACAGCTGACATTTTGATTCTTACATATTTTTGTGTCCACTTATGATTATTCTCTTTGTTTTTTGTTTTATTTTTATTAGTTCATTTTCTTTATTGTTGTGCTGGGTGGGGCTACATTGTGGCATTTACAAAGGTTCTTTCAATGTATCAACTATATCATACTTAGATTATTCTCTTTGTATAAATTTCACAACCAAGTTCTTTTTGGGTCAAAGATGAGTACAGTTGTCCCTTAGTATTCTTGAAGGATTGATTCCAGGAACCCAGGAATTGCAAAATCTGTGGATGCTCAAGTCCCTAATTTAAAATGGAACAGTATTTGCATATAATCTGTGCATATCCTCCTGTGTACTTTAAATTATCTTTAGATTACCTATAACACCTAGTACAATGTAAATAGTTGTTACACTGTATTGTTTAGGGAACATCAAATGTATAAGATGCATATTAAATTATATAGTATGTACCTTTTTTTTCTTCAGTGCTGGGGATTGATCCCAGGGCCTTGTGTGAGTTGGGCACTGAGGCACAACCCAGGTCCTTGGATTTTTGAGACAGGGTCTCACCATGTAGCTCATGCTGGCCTTGGAATTCCTGTGTTACCCAGGCTGGGCTTGAGTGTGAGCTCTTCCTGCCTCTATCACCCGGGTATAAAAAATACATCTTAAATTTGATTTCCTTTTTTGGCGATACTGGGGTTTGAACTTAGGGTCTCATGCTTGCTAGGCAGGCACTCTACCACTGGAGTCACTTACCAGTCCCTTTTTTGTGCTGGATATTTTTTAAGATAGGGTATCATGAACTATTTTTTCTGGGCTGACTTCGAACCTTCATCCTCCTGTTCTCTGCTTCCTGAGTAGCTAGGATTATAGGTGTGAGCCATCAGTGCCCAGCTTGAATTTGATTTTACATAGAGCAAATATTAGAAGTGGAAGGGGAAAGTTATGACATTGTTTACTAAGCACTGAACCATCTTAGAGTTACATATGGAATAATTTCAGTCATTTTGTGTATATATGTCTCTATGTATGTTTATATTAGATGATTTGAAAAGGAGTACTTGGCATAAGAAATGCAAGTAGGAGGTTTAAAAATATATCATTTCATAGGTAGAAATAGAGAGTGCATTGTTTAATTAATCAAGATGATCAGAAATATTTCCAAAAATATCACTTGCCATTCTTCCTTGCCCCCTCATTCTAGGTTTCAATGAGGACTGGCAGTCGTTGCACTGAGAAGCTATAAGTTTCATTTTCATGAGTTACAGATGTTGAGACTCCAGGGAATTTTGTATCATTTATTCTACTTAGTGGTTGTGTGTTTTTATAAGGAATAGACTAGCATTGTAGGTATCCACTTTTTTGAATGTATTTGAAAAAAGTGAAAACAAAATTCCTTGATCTTTTGAAAATGTTCAATAGAAGCTGAACCCACTTCCTCTTTAGTACTGGGTGAAATTGGCTGTAATGTGCTCATTGTTGAATGGTATGTAGTCAGCAACCCCTAGAATGAAACAAGGAATAACATGAGGTGACCATGGTGTATGTAATCCTCACATTTCAAAGGAGCAGTCCATGAAATTTTTAAAGGAGTAAAATTGTCTTAGAGAGAAATGGTACCTTGATTAGTTTGGAAGAAACATGTAATTGGGATTCTTAGGGAATTCTTATGTCCATTCTTTAGGTCATCATTTTGTGGAGCGTGTTTGGGTTAGCACTTAAGAGGGAAGTCTTTTATCCCTCGTGTAGGAAATTGTGTTGATAACATTTCTCTGAAAAGTTATCTTTAGGATTGTAAGCAGTGACAGTGATGACATACACAATATGCATAAATTGTGGTTGTTATTAAAAAGGCCCAAATTAGAGAATTCAAGGGAGAATTCTACTTGTGAAGATTTTATAAGAAATAAGGAAGGACAATGGGTTGAGAACCTAGACTTTCAGCACAGGAAAGAGAGATGATGACAGTATCCATGATCTTTCAGGTAGTTAAGACAACAGAAAGTATGACAATTTCAGGTCCAAATCTTTCTGGATCTCAAAGACCTTTCCCTTTACCATCCTTGCTCCCAGAGATGGAAAGTATTTTGAAGACATGAGAATAAGCCTAATGTAAGTTCCCTGGGCAATTTCTTGAGATAAAGGTGCTAGGACAAACAGTAATAGTAATAATAATAATAAGCATTTTTGAACACATGCTATGCAAAAGGAACTGTGCTTAATAATTTTAAACATGTTATTTTGAATCCTCACAATAACCCAAGAAACTAATATTGCTATCTCCATTTTGTAGCTGTGGGGACTGTATCTCAGGGAAGATTCATTACTTGTATGATGCAGCTCATAAATAAGAGAAGGAGCTTCTAACCAATGCTTAGTGGAATGCTAAGATCTTTATAATATACTTTTCTGAAATCCCACAGATGCAAAGGAAAAATCACTCCCAATGTAAGATTGGGCAATGAAACCTTTTAATCAAGCCACAGCCTTGGTCCCACTGTGACTTTATTTGACTTTAAAATCCTCTGCATGATGATAGTTATCATAAGGTTAACATCATCTTTAGACAAAACCATTCACCAGTACTTTTTAAGTTGGTGTATATTTTAGTATTTGTGCAAAAACTTTTACAAATGTTAACTTTTCTGTTTAATATGTCTGTTTCCTTCTCTGTAAAAAGTCATTAATATTTACAGAATTGATATATCTATCTAGTGACTATATGTAAAGCATGAATATATACATATATAATTCCTATATATACAGCTATTATAAATACATATGCAGTTTCACACTTACTGATTAAATACATGAATTAATAAAAGAATTTATGACTATATCCTTAAGCTATGGATAAAATGCCAATTCCTTTTCTTCTCTTACCTTCATTCAAAGGTGTTGTGCCACTAAGGAACTGCCAGTATGTGTTGTGATTAACATTTTCAGCGATATTGTTGATGGAAGAGACAATAGGGCCCCAAGATGTCATTGTGGTTTCAAACCTAAGAAGAAAATCATAAATGATTAATACCTCAATTCAGGCTAGGCAATAAGGATGTAAAATGAATGGATAGACTCTAAATCTTTTAAAGAGAAGACAAAATTATGCTGAAAAGAAAAATGCAAATGACTAATAAATATGGAATTATGTTATCCAGAATTAAATGAAATTTACATAAATGTGTTTTTCATAATTGCAAGTTTATATTTTCACTTGAGTGGGTCAACAGGCATTTCTGTTGGGTATTTTCAAGATAAGGTCTCATGAACTATTTGCCCAGGCTGGCTTCCAACCTCCATCTTCCTGATCTCTTCTTCCTGAGTAGCTAGGATTATAGGCACAAGCCACTGGTGCCAGTCACCTTTCAATAGTTTTGAAGCTACTTTCTCTTGCCCTCTACATCCAGTCACTCTTTGGTTTTCCTTGTTATGGTACATCTATCCTAGGTAAAGTCCTTGTCATTTCACAACTAAATTATTGTAGTCAAACTCTTCCATTTCTCATTGTTTCCTATTCTCACAATCCAAGAAACTTTCCACAACACAGATTTTCTTCCTCAAAAATTTAAAGTGCTTTTCTGCAATATGAAGGTTAATCTCAGCTTGAGATGTCAAACTTTTTACAATATCACCCAAACTTCCCTTTCAGACAACACTTCATTTGTTTTACATTTTCTCCTTTAGTAAAGCTAGTGTACCAACTGACTATGAATTCCTTGCTCACGCCTATTTCAAAATTTTGTTATAGCCACTTCTTCATAAAATGACCCCTCCCCACACTTTTCAAAATAGTACCTATGCTTTGGAGCCTAAAGTGATAGACCTTTCTTTTTGGTATTCTAATCCACGATGGATTCTCACTCCTTTGAACTTCTGTTATTAAGCTTCATCATACATCTACTTGCAAGAATTTTCATGGCATCTTTTGACTGCAACCCCTTCAAGGGACATTTAGACAAAAGATGTTAAGTTATCAGAAATGAAACAGTAAGAAAAAGAAGGAAGAAAGAGAGAGAGTGAGGAAGGGGGAGGAGAAAGAATATGAAAATTTGAGTTATGCTTGGAAGAATGGCAAATAGCACTTGTAACACTCACTTGAACATGTCATTTTTGCGTTGTGCTTCTTCTAGGACAACAAGTAGCACGGACCCACTTTTCACAATAACATCAATGGTTACATTAAAGAGTAGCTCTACCCCCCTCAGCTGATTGTTTATGGTGTATGTGACTGTGATGTTAGATGCTGAGGTGGGAGGAGGATTAGGATAGTTGGGTAGAGTTGGTTGCACCTCATGATCTGTGAAGAGCAAAAAGTCAAATTTGTCAAAAATTATGGGGCTCCTATTATAGGTGCAAAATCACTGTCACTGGCAAATTATTCCAGAAAATATTTCATGCAAGTAGTAAGTTTCAGACCATTTAACAAGGTAGTTTGACAACTAGTGTAGAGTCCTGGCAAACACTCCTTGTTAAAGTTGGGAAATCACTGGAAGCAGACTAGGGAGTTAGGTAAATGTGATAATGTTTATGTCATTGCGATCATTTTGCTTGACTTTGATATCTGTAATTTTGCATTGAAATAGACAAGGGGTTTATAATCTCTTCCTGTCTTAGGAAGTTAGTGTAATGGAAGAAGAATAATGCTTGATATTTGTATTTGATTAGAAAGAAGAGTTGAAGAATCCATTCCAAAGACTAATTATCTCTGGAGCTAATGAGATTTTATAAAGGACCTCCACTTTCCAAATGCATATTTCTGCAATGTTTGAATTTTAAGTGTATCTGCATTTTATTTATGATTGGTTTATTTAAAAAGTAGCATGCCAGGTTTCTGCCCCATCCCTTTGGTGTTCTATGAGCGTCTCATGTTCATCTTTAAGATTTGGCTGAAATGTCAACTCTGTTCTCTTAAAACTTACAAATAAAATCAATTATTGGTCATTATTTTTTGCTTTGTAATATATGTGGCTTTAATGTCTACTTAATACTTGTTTCATTATTCCAAATATTGTAGCTTTGGTCTCATCTTTCTCCTGAGTGAAAAGAGCAAATGTGATAAGATATACATGATCAGTACATTTGTCGAATGTATGAAGTTACTTGGTTGTGGGGACCATAGGCCCTCCCCCTTGTCTAGCATTCCATAAAATGCTTTGCCATAGTAGGTGTTCAGTAAATGTATAATGAATGGGATAGACATGGGACTGAATTCTGAGGGCTGGATTGTTTGGTTGTGTGCTAGCATATGCTCTTGGGGATTGGAAGTCAGATGTGCATGAAGTAAAAATGGGCAAAACAATCCTGTATGCAAGTTAACATTGACCTATATATCATTCTTGGTGTAAGTTATTCCTTTATGACATAAGAAAAGGCAGTTGTTAAAAATGTTCTTACCAGGGCCACAAGACACTTGGGGCAAATCTAGGTATGTCTTGCCTCTCAATGAAGGAAGGATTTGGGCAATGGACATGGAGTTTTGGAATTTCCCCTGTTTAATCTCATCAAGTATTATATTCATAGTCTTCTCACAGTCCCATTCCTTCTTAGGTTGCACAGGTGTCACAGAAAGAGCCTAGGGTGAAGGGAGGTAGAGGAGAGAGAGATTAGGTACAGCTGAGAGCCCTTAAAAGGGACAGATATGGTCACTTGTCTTTTTGATCATCCAGAATTCAAAACTGGCACCAGTGGGAGGAGAGAGGGATGAATATGGTACAAATAATGTGTATGCATGTATATAACTGCAAAAATGATACCTGTAGAAACTGTTGCAGGAATCGGAGGAGGGGGGATGAAGGAGAGCAGTGGAGAGGATGAATTCAAGTATGATTTATTTGATATGTTGTAAGAACCTTTGTGAATGCTACAATGTACCCTCACCCAGCACAACAAAGGAAAAAAAAAAGACTTTGAAAGAAAAAAAAGGTCATTCCATACTAATTATAGGAACAATACATCAAGAGGAAATAACACTTGTTAATTATATGGAGCTAATGTTGGTGCACCCAACTTCATTAAACAAAAACTACTGGACTTAAAAACATAACTAGATTTCAACACAATGATAGTGGGAATAGTGGGACTCTTCACCAGTATCACCAAATTATATCACCAGAAAAAAATAAATTAAGGGAAAAAAACAAAATTGAACCAAGGGACTATAAACCACCTAAATAGGTCATAACAAGCAATGAGAAGTAATAATTTCCAGATGAGGAAAAGTCCAGGACCTGAGGGATTCGTTGCTTAATTCTACCAGGCCTTTAAAGAAAAGCTAATACTAATATTCCTCAAACTTTCTATGAAATAGAAAGGGAAGGAACACTACCAAACTCTTTCTATGAAGCCAGTATTATACTTGTTCCCAAACTGGACATGTATGCAACAAAGATAGAGAATTGTAGGCCTACCTCTTTAATGAATGTAGATGCAACTATTCTTAACAAACACTGGCATACTGAATTCAACAATGCATCAAAAAGATCATACACTATGATAAAGTTGGTTTCAATCCAGAGATGCAGGGATGGTTCAACATATGCAAATTGATGAATTTAATACAGTATATAAGCAGAAGAAAGAACAAAAATCACATGATCATCTCAATAGATGCAGAAAAAACTTGACAAAATTCAACATCTTTTCATGATTAAAGATGTGAAGAAACAAGGAATTGAAGGAATGAACATCAACCTAATAAAGGGCATGTATACAAGTCTATAGCTATTGTCATTCTAAATGGGGAAAGACTGAAATGGTTTCTTCTAAAGTCAGGAATAAGACAAGGGTGTCTACTCTCCCCATGCTTACTCAATATAGTTTTAAAATTCCTAACCGGAGGAGTAAGACAGGAGGAAGAAATAAATAGAGTTCAAGCAGGGAAAGATGTCAAATTATCCATATTTGCAGTATTTTTCTTATCTTTTTTTTTCTTGCAAATCTGGGGCTTGAACTCAGGGCCTATACCTTGAGCCACTCCACCAGCCCTTCTTTATGAAGGGTTTTTCCAAGATAAGGTCTTGTGGAACAATTTGTTTGGGCTGGCTTCAAACTGTGATCTTCTTGATCTCTGCCTCCTTAATAGCTAGGATTACAGGAGTAAGCCACTGCACCTGGCTGCAATATTTTTCTCAATCTCACAAGATATCTTGAGAATTTAGAGCATAAACTCTTAGTGTGGATTAGAGGATTTGGTCACAGTTGGCTTTAAGTTTCTGATTCTAGTTGGTTACCTCTGCGCATGATCACAGATACATTTTCCTTCCATGGAGGATGCTGCCATATTCACCTGGGTAATGGGAAGGTATTGGACTTGGAGCCATCAAAGCTGAAGATCTAACTGAATCTGAGCCTGGGAATAAATGCTAGAAGAGCATAAGGCTATCGATTTGGTTAACACATAGACCAAGCTTTACTGTTTATAGGGTTTTTTGTGAGGTTGAGTCAACTTTAGATTATTTTCATTAATCATTATGAGTACAGACTGACCTTTTTTGAGTCAGGATAAATGACTGAGAAAAGAACACTTGGCTGGAGATACTGAATCAGAGAATTCAATAATTATTTTAGCACCTGTGTTAATACCAGCATTTGTACAGCACCTGTGTTAATACCAGCATTTGTACATCAAATTTTCAATAGTAAACTGGTCATTATTAATACATCAATACATTTCTTGGATTTATTTGTTTTAATTTTACTTCTAAAGAAGGAAAATGATTTCAAATATGTATTTTTCACACTTTATCTATTAGGGAAGAATTAACACTTACCTGCATTTTGCAGAGGAGAAATGGAGGCAAAGCAGTACAGGAATCTACCTCAGGTCATCCTAGTTGAACTTTCCTGGCCATGTTTGCAGATGCCTAGTCCATTGTTCCTACAATACAGCCTTATTGGCTTAGACTCAATCAAGAGCATCCAGAATGTGTTTACCTGCATGGCAAGGCCAGTACTGTAGATGTTTCCTATGATGCCATTGTCTTTGATACTCATGCTGATATTCTCCACAATAGCCTTCAATACCTGGCCAAACAGGGCTCTGTAGCTTTCATCAGAACCTATGGGGATCTTGTTGTACATGCAGGTCAGGGCCAAGGTTGCCACTGCTCCTGTGTCTGGGAATCACAGGGGGATAGGGTCACAACCATAACCACTACAACATGAGTAGCTGACATTTATCACATACTTATTGTGTTCTAGTTACATGATCTTATTTACTTCTCAGCACCACCCATGAAATAGGACCTATAATTATCTTCTTGTAAAAGATGAGGAAATTGAGCCTCAGAGAAGTAAAGTAACTGCTGAAGGCCACACAAACAGTAAGTAACAGGACCAGAACTGAAAAGTAGATTTGTAAAAAATCAGCAACTTATGCTTTTAACTAATGCATTCTGGCAATATGTTCAATCTCACCTCCTTTATTTTGCAACCCCCATAGCACTCAGCATAGAAACTTTTCTATTTCTTGCATGTGAAAAACATGTGTGGACCTAATAAGCAAGCTCTGAGATAAGAAGACCAGAACAAATGACAGACTTGCTGGATAGCATCTTTTAATTCATTGATCTTCCCCTTCCACCTTAATCACTACCTGAAAGTTGCACAACTTCGTTAAGTGTGGAAATGTTCTTGAAACCCAAAGAAAAAGTTCAAACTTCTTGAATTTGCCAAGTTGCAAATTGAGATTCAGATGGGAAAGAGAGAGTCTGTTCTTGACCCACAGGGAGGGTAGTAGAGTCTATTTACTTCCTTTTCTGATAGAAACTGAAAGGAGATAAGTTGCTGATAATGCTTAGAGAATGGCATATGGCCATGACAGTGGTTTGTACAAGGAGAGATTGTTATACACTGAGAGGTGAACAGAAGAGGGATATGGTATTACGGAGGAAAAAGCTTCCATTCACAAGCAGCCAAAGTTTTGCAGAAGGAAGGAAACATTTTTTGAAGTGGTTCTTGAAGGGGAACACCATGGCTTTGTGTTCAGACAGTAGCTCTTTAATAAAAAGTATATTTGAATATAAAAAGGAGAAGCATTGAGAAAAACAGAGTATGGAAATATTAGTATCAGTTAAAGAGAAGGTGCAGGGCAGGGCTAAGGAAAGGCTATCTATTGATATATCTATCATCTATCTATCTATTTATCTATTTTTAGGTGGTACTGGTGTTGGAACCAGCTTGCTAAGCAGGTTCTCTATTGCTTCAACCACAACTCCAACTCAAGACTTCAATATCTAACTTGGGAACTTCTTCTGACTGGGTAATGTGTTTATTGTTCTCAGTTCAGGTTCTGTAGCTGTTAGGCCTTTCAAGTATTGTCCTTATTTCTACGTGTTACTGGCTTCTTTTCTTTCATTTATTCCTTAATAAACACATCCAACATTCATTAAGTATCTTCCATCTATACACACTCGTGTGGTTCTCAGCTCTTCTTCCATGGGAAATTCCTATCTTCCCCCTTCCCCCTCCAGCTCCAGCTTTCTTCACTCACAGCCTCTGTTGTGCCCAGCTCAGGATGGTGATCTACTCACCCACATTGAAGGGAGAGGAATTGGCCAGCAGGGTCTTGGCAAAGCGCACTGCTATTGGTAAAGTTGTCTCCGAGTTTTTCTGGCACAGTGTCATAATCGCCAGACTGGGCCCATAGAAGGCTGTGGCTTCTTCGCTGGGGCCTCAGAAGAGGATAAAGAACCTTCCTTAGACTAACATTCACCATTCTGGGGAAACATTTGTGAAGAAGATATTCCAAAGCTTTTAAATAGAAACTGCTAGAAAACCTAGCCCCAAAGAAAGACACAGTATTGGCTAAAGGTAAATTCAGAGTTTTTCAGAATAAGAATGACAATTTGGCATTTGAGTACACTAACAGTGATGATGGTGTCTCCATGTCTTGGCTGGACCAGTTTGTGTGTTTGGGGGAGTTGGGTGTTCTTGTTCATTTTGGCTGAGAAGTGCATTTCTCACTGGTGAGATTATCAGAGCAGAGGTGGCATGTGGCTCTTCCCTAGCTGTTCATTCTCTCAACCTACACTCTTTTCCTTCCTGGGCTTAAATTCTCAGGAAGGACTCCATGCTTCATTCTCCCTTCCCCTCCATAAGGTCTTACCTGAAGGTGCCCAGTTCTCCATTTGTTTCTGTAGAACTGACATTTTACTCCCAGGGTCTCGGCAGGAGGAAGTGAGGGCCATAATGGTGAGAGCGAGCTGCCCAGTGGTTAGGTCTACAGAGGGGAAAATAGAACAGTAATACAAAAATATCAGGGGCTAAGACTGAGCCTTCTGCTTCTTATCCAGATCATTATGATTTTTAAGTGTATTTGCATAATTTCAATCTGTCTCTTCAAAGAAATACATATGGAAAAGTACATAAGGGAATATTGACTTTAGCATCTTCTGTGTGACTTAATGGCTCCATAATGAAACCCATTATTTTGTACGATTAATATATGTGAAAAAAAATCCCTAATATCTGTCTAGAAAAGCACTAATACAATAGCTAGGAAAAGTTAGTTACAAAATAACATAAATTTGGCTATCTAACTTGATCCTTAAGGCAACTCTTAGGAAGTAGGCTGAATAGAGGCTTTATTGTTACTGTGTTGTTATTGTTGTTGTTGTCAAAGGATGAGGTGAGGTTCAGCAGCATTTAGTGATTTTTTTTTTTCAAGGTCACAAAGTAGTAAGTGGCAGATCCAGAACTGGAAGCCCCTTCTTTTTACATCTAGTTTGGAGCTCTTTCTGCTTCCCTGCCCTCCTCCATGAATGCTCTGACTTCATACATATTTCCTTCCTGATATTCTACAACAATGTAGGGGAAGGTGATTAAGGTACAGTCAGAGGTAGAAGACACAAAGATGGGACCAGGTGTGAGGTGGATGTTCCCAGTGTGTGGAAGGTTCAGAGAGCAGGTGAAGAACTCGAATGCCTCACCTGCAGTGTCACTGGCCATAAGCTCGTAAGTTAGGAGCTTCTGGGCCTCCAGGTTGTAGGCTCCGACCAGATTCATGGCAATCAGGACACTGGGATTTGGGAAGTCCGATGAAGTCACTGAGTTCTCCATTTGCACTTGTAGGTCATTAACCCATGGCAGCTGCTCTGAAGGGATGGCTGAGGAGAGAAAAGTCACTTTCTAAACTCCTAATCCTCATTCCCTCTCCTCTGAAACATGATTCCCATGTCTTTTATGTTCTAACAGAAGACTTTACTATGTTTGGTGATCAGTGATTGAAGAGAAATTCAGAAATAACAATATTTTTCTTTTGGTGCCAGTTAGTCCTTATATCTTCTCAAATAACTAATATCTTTAAGAAAGTTATTTTTCATTTTCTAACTTTAAGCAGTATGGCTCACAGACATTTCACATGAGTTGTAGCAGTTTTCTAGAAATCACTTTTTTTTGTAGCTATTTTAATCCCCCATTCTTCCGTGAAGAATAGTAAAGATTTGGGACATGATCTGTCCTTAGCAAGTATCAAAACCTTCTAGCCATTGAGTGCCTGTTTTATACCAGCAACATAATTCTGCACTGTTTTTCTTTTCTGTTTTTTAAATTTTATTTTATTATTTTTCTTTTTTATCATTTTGCAGATGTAATTCAATCTCTCTTAAAAAAAGTTCCATTGACTTGACTTTCAAAGAACTTATGTTATTAAGTCAGGATAGAACAACACCCACTCACGCCCCAACTTACCCACTTTGGAACTCCTATAGTGATTGCTAATTTCAGCTCATTCTCATTGGTAGACCTGAGCGTCTGAGATCTCTCTTTGCCTCTCCTCATGGTAACCCTAGAACAAGCACCATACTCACAGCATGAGCTTCGGGTCTGGGTATTAGTCCCAGCCATAGTCCAGAGAATGTTCAGGAGGTAGATCAGAAACCAGACCATTTCACTTCTCCTGTCCTGTCCACGTCTTCCTGTCAGAAGGTATCAAGTGTTTGCAAATGGAGTGTTTGTCTACCTTTTCTTGTATGTGCTTATCTTTGTAAAATAGTCTGCTCCTGACTTAGCCACTCCCAAGTATCTATGCTTACCTTGAAAATATTGATTTCCATTTGCTTATCTAAGTTTATCAATTGTGCAGACCCACCATGGTGTCTGAAGGTGACTTCTATGCAGTGCAATCGTGTGTGAAGCTTTGGGGCTGGATATGCAGCAAAGATAATAGGAAGAAAAGTGACCTTTACCAAAGACTGGGGATTCATATACAACTCAGTGGTAGAAGGCTTCCCAAATCTATTCAAGGGTTCAGTTCCTAGCACTGCAGAAAAGTGTTCTTTAGCAAATTCATGGGTTCTTACTTTGGGAAATTTAGCTTATGTGTGAGTGTAAATAAGACTTCTCCTTAGCATTTACACATAACCTCCTGGGTGTTTATCTACAGCTACTTCACTGAGGTTTGCTACATTGGCAGGCCAATTCATAGTTCAGGGTTCCCTTTTAGGCTCTCAGATCTGCCTTCAGATGAAGTCTGGATTTGTGTAATTAAATAAATTAACCTGAGTTACTTAAGTGGACCTGGGTTCAACCCCAATTCTTTGTAGTTGTTTGACGTTAGGCAAGAAATGAACCTCAATTTCACTGAAATTGCTTTGTTTGATTTCTTTTTAGTTATCCAGGGATAATTACAGTCTCCAATACCAAGGGACTTAAAATACAGTATTATCTTTTAAAAGAAAATGTGGAATCAATGAACTATATTAAGTATACATATTTTCCAGAAATGTAAAGTACACATATTTTCATAATGTAAAGCAAAGTAAACCTCCCTATAAAAGACAACTGCAACTATGATCTTGAAATGAAGAAAAAGGCTGATTGTTTTCTACAATTTAAGTTGCTCCTTTTGTGGGAAATTATGCAGTGGCTACCACCTAAGAATAAAAGCCACAGTCCTTAGATATGGCTTCTAGTTTCCTTTATGACCTCACTTTTCAATATTTTTTTCCCTTGCCCACTCTGCTACAGTCACACAGAAACTCTGTGTTCCTTGAAAGTTTCAGCTACCTTTGTACTTGTCCCTCTGCTCAGGATAGTCTACCAAATGCCCTCATGATGGCTCCTTGCTTTCTTCATGGCTTTGCCCAAACAGAAGCTATTATTTTTTTTTACTGATATTTTATTTTATTATTATTTATTACTTGTATGAATAATACATTTCCATACATGCATATAATGTACTTTGTGCATATTCATTCCACCATCACCCTCTCCTTTGGCCCTCCCACCACTCACTTGTCCCATCTCCCAGCAGTCCCCTTTTACATTCCTGTCATTGTGTATATGTATATACACATATATATATATAAGATTGGATTCCACATATGAGACAAACTATGTGATATTTGTCATTTTTGACTTGCATTTCACAAGTAGGGTTCTTTTTTTTTTTCCAGTACTGGGAATTGAACACAAGGTGTCATACATTCTAGGCAATTGCTCTACTATTTGAATCCTGTCCTCAGTCCCCAAAGAGAGGCTTTTAGAGAGTCCATCAAGAGCACCAATATAGGACATCCTCAAACCCATGGTTGCACACCACACCCCTTACCTGTCACACTGTGTATAGATGTTTATTGTGTCTCTCTGCCCTTTAGAATGTCTTCTCAATGGAGGCTGGGTTTAGTCTATTTTTCTCACTGCTCTATTCCCAGCACTTATGACTTAAGTGAATAAATTCATAAACAAATCAAAGATGTGGGCTCTAAAGTACTTTCTTATCTCTTAGAGAAGTTCAGTGGTTTTCTGACATAAGAGCACAGGTTAAATATTGGGATATGCTAGACAGCTTTTAACATGGCCCTATGTCTCAACCACCTGCTATTCATTCCTTTGCCTAGTCATATTGGGTAAAGTGTGGGCTGGCCTCACTTTTAAAGAATAAAATACTGAAATTATACTGAATTAGGCTAAAATTACAAAGGACTGATTCCCCTCTTGCTTGCACTCTCTCTCTTTTTTTCTTGTTCCTTGCTATGATGAAACCAGCTCCCAGATTGCAGCCTGTCTTATAGAAAACCCCATGTAGTAAAGGACTGGGAATTGCTTCTAGGCAACATCCTTGCAGAAAGGAATATACCCAAAATCCATGCGAATGAACCCAGCTTATGAGACGTGAAGACTAATCACTTCCTCCTGAGGTGATCACCACTTTAATCACTTTTAAAATCCTTTAAAATTGAACTGCTAAGGATATGTTATTATTTTTTTTGCAGTTGATGATTTTTCATTGAAAATTTAGAGAGAGAAGGGAGGTACTCAACTTCCCTGTTGAGATTGGGACAATAGAAAAGAAAGGCACAAGACTAATTCCTACAATGAATTCTACTGCAAAAGGTCTATCTTGAAGAAGTTCTGAGCTTATTAGTATGTGCTCCAGCGGACCTCCAAGTTTTCTCCATTATGGACAACATAGCTACCAATTCCTGAAAAGAAGAAGAAAGTGAATTAGCACAAATAATTTGATCTCTGTGTCATCTGATAATAAATATCATCTCTCCCAGCCCTTTGACAGATTTCCCATAAAAGCACATACCCTCACACTTGAGTGCTTTGGGTATTTTTATTCTGTGGAGTTTTTGGGATACATTTTTTCTTACCTTGGTCCAGTGGTTTGCCTCCACTCATAATTTCCCAGTAGGTCTTGTCATTATTGTTGGCCCTTAGGCCCTGAACAGAAGTGACATAAGGGCCCCATGAACTCTGCTCCACTGTGAAACTGTGGGGAGAATGATTAAGTTGCAGCAGCTTAGAATTTTCAAAGAAAATGCTTTAGAGAAAAATTATAAACTTTAATGTACCTATGAATAACTCAATAACATTACAAAAAATATACAGATTTTCTGGCTCTATCCCCAGATAATTGGATTCTCAGGTCTGAGCTTGGGGTCAGAAATCTGCATGCTTTATAAACACTGCATCTGTCCTGCAGGCAGGACACATTCTACACTAAAATGAAAATGTGATGCCCATGTTTTCTGGCCATCCAACTGCTATAATAGGTTATTTTTAGTTAGCATCTTCAACTTTCCACCAAAGATAGTAACTGTTGAAGAGGTGGCAGCAGTGCAAGGAAGTGTTAACCTCATGTCCTAGAGACATCATAAGTTCATGAATTATCTCTTAGAAAAAAGGTTAGTAAGGAATAATTTGGTATTTATTAAAATGTGAGATGGTCAATATCTATTTTACATCATTAGTCCTATTTCTCTTTTTGATGTAAGTCTTCATAATACATGTTATATTTATGATATATACATATGAAATTATTCCTACTTTCTCTATAGCATTTTACACCATGTGGTGAGTAAATGCCAAGTAGATTTGAGGGACCAAATATGTGATACTTTTCAGAAGAAAGTCAATATTTTAATTTAATATTTGACCATTCTAGGCCAAGAAAGCATAATTTAGAGGTTTGTGAATTTCCTTAAAGAAAAACATGGAGAGGCTTAGGCTACCTTTGAATTTCCCAACAAACAACAAATTTTGTTTATATTTATTTTTCTGAGATGAACAGTTATTGGTAGTCATCTGATTTTCAAAGAAATCAACGATTCAAATATATTTAAGAACTTCTAGCTAGAGGATATATGACTGAAAAAGTTCTATTTATTGAGGTTTTGCTGAAGAAAAGGGAGAGCCCTGGGTTTCATGTGTCATTTGTGGATATTAACTTAACAAAACTTATGTGCTAGAGGATAAAATGTCACCTCTTATTTTTAAACTCTGCTGTGTGATGTGGATGGACGGCAAAGGTACTGATGCAGAACTCTTTAAAATGTATTTGTACTCTAGTACATATATATCCTTATCAAGTCTTTCAAAATTACAGTAAATGCCCTAACCTTGTTATGTTCAGACATACCCAAATATAGTCTTATTTTCTTTCTGAGCCTCCTCCATAACTTCTAGGAAGACAGAACCTCTCGACACATTGACTTCAGTGGAATATGTTTCATTGATTTTCACCGAGTAATGGACTGAGATATATGATGATGAGTTTGGAGCTACAGGCTGAGGCTCTTGAATAGAGATGTTGATGTTACCTGACAGAGACATAAAAACAGAGAGAAATATTTAGAATAATAAAAATGGTGCCAGAGTTTGCACACTTATCCAAGCCCTATGTAAGGATTCCTTTCCTTCATGCAGAGATGATTTCATGGAAGGAGAAAATGTCAACAATGAAGGGACAGAACTTTCATGTGACTAAAGTAGAAACTGAAACTGGAGACATACTGGCTTGTGAATGCTGGCATTTGGCTCAACTCTCAACTGTTAAACCATTCAGTTGTTCCAAGTGCATTTCTCATAAGGTTCCTGATGTTTTTTTTCCTGCTTTGTTACAGAATTTAGTACTATTTTCCATTCTCCCTTTTTTCCTGGACATTTAATGAGAACATTTAAGTGCCAGGCATTATACTAATAATTTTATGTGGACTATCTCATTCAGTACTTATAAATTACTTATGTTAGACAGTGTTACAATCCCATTTTCTTCATGAGAAAACTGAAGATTAAAGGTTAAACATTTGCCCTATGTCCCAAAATCTGTAAGTGGTTGAATCAAGAATGAACAAATATGGAAGGAAATGTCTCCTTTCTTTGTGGTTGTTGAAAATTGTTTATTTGAACAAATGATTCATGGTGCATTTCTCTTAAACTACTCCTTATTCCTTCCACACCGATGTCTTATTTACAAAAAGTTCATTTAGGAAAAATAATGGAAAGTCACAAACAAGATGCCTGTCCTCTATACTATGCATGGGAATGAAATGAAGCTCACATTTTAAAAAAATATCTAACAATCAGGAAACATCACTCTGAAGGTAGACATCATTTAATCAAGTCTACCTTGATTGTCAGTATTTGAACCAAGAATGATGTCTACCACGTGAAAAAAATCCTCTGCTGGTTGTACTCAACCAGCTTACCTGGCCACTTTTGGTCCCAAAAGACACCTTTATCTCACAAATTTTGGGTGTGATGCTGAGGGGCAAAAGAATTTACCCTTTTGTGTTTATACCTAAAAGATGGGCACAAGGAGAGGCTTGGTTAACATCCAAGTAGGTTTTTCCAAGCAGGGAAGGTAAGATTTGGGCTGCAGCATCTGGGTTTTTGAATATTCCCAAAGAAATTTCCTTAAGTATTGTGTCCCGAGTTTGTTGGCAGTTCCAATCACTTTCATTATAATAGCTTGATGAGACAAAGAGGGCCTAATGGGAGAGAAACAGAGGGAGAGAGTATGAGACAGTTCAAATAAGGGGGAAGGCTACATCTAACTAATTAATTATTTATTGAACAAGACTACTTAGGAGGCACTGAGGTATCTTTTTTGCTGTCAAGAAATGTACAAGGTAGTTAACTGAAATATCTTTTTTGCTGTCCAGAAATGTACAAGTAGTTTAGATGGACAGGTGAGGAACTGCTTAATTAAACAAGCTGCAATGGCTACAATGACAAAAAACTTCTCTGTGTCCAAACACTGCAAAAATACCTGTCATAAAGGAGATGCTCAATAAATATTATGACCAAACTATAGTAAAGGAACCCTGGGATGAATTCCCTAAGAGAAGCATCTAGTTACATGTTCTTAAAAAGAGGAGAGGAGCTTATCTACATTTAGTGGAGCCAAGGAATGGTTTAATTGGAGAATGTGGTACCTGAGGTGGGCTGCTGATGGTATATGGTATTTTGGGAGGCTAATTTAGGAGTAGGGCTCTGTACTGAGAGAGAAGAGCATGGGCAAAGACCTAATGTATGAGTGGCAAGGTTGTGGCTTGTGATTAGAAAATATGAATTTTCACAAATCTCCAGGGTTCTTCCCTGTAGTGAGCTTTCTCATGCTCTGTTCCTCCTGATCTAACTGGGGGCAACTGGTGATGCAGAAAGAACAAATGATAGAAGACATACATGCAGAAATTTGGGGTCAGGTGTGCTCGGATGGAGATGCACAGCAGCTTTGTTGCTTCTTTTCTCTAATAACTCTTCTTTTACTTTGTGTCTTTTCTCTATCTTTAAAACTTTACATCTAAAGTCTTCTTTTCTGTCCTTTAAAATCTCTTGCCTTAGACTCACTCTTTTACATGTTCCCTTTAACCTCTCTTAAAGTCTTGGCCCTCAGACTTGCACTGTCCCACATTCTCTCTTTAAAGTCTTGGTGCTCAGACTTGCAGACAAACAACAGCAGCTGCATCCTAAAACTGCATTAGCATAACTCTTAAAGTCTCAGTCCTTAGACTTGCACCGTCCCATGTTAGTTTAGATTTTCTTTAGCTTAGCTTTTCTAAAGCCTACGTATAAAGTTCTCAGTGCTCAGACTTGCACTGTCCCATGTTTCCTCTAATCTCTAGCATAACTCAGCAGCATCATCATCATTCTGCACCAGTCCCCTTGCAAGCTGCTAACCAATCAATCCATCCCTCATCAAAAAACATTCCATCAATACCCCATCAAAAAACCTTGTGTCCTCCTTCAGTGAGTCTTTTATATCCGGTGGTAAACAAGGAGGTGGAGCAGCAGTTCACAGGGAGGGACATGACCTTATAACAAGAGAAACCTGCTCTCTACTTCTCTCAATGTAAACAACTTAGGAAAAGCACCTGTGCTGCATTTTGCCTTTGCACTCTCTTCTGTGGCCTTGCCAAACTCAGCCTGTAGATCATTGAGCACAACTGTGCTTATGTCAAGTCCTCATAGGATCCTCATAATCCGCTCCCCACACTGCCCTGTCTAGGAAGACTGATGTACAGGGAACAATCGGCACAATTGTGGAAGAACAAGCTGGAGAAGGAAGTTGGTCAGGTTGGAAGATGTGAAATGTATGGTGTCATTTGATTGCTGAACAGAATACATCTAGGCTGTAGAATGTAAGTTCAATTGAAGGAGGAACGTTGTGGGGTGGTAAAGGTTTGGAGGGTATTGCAGTGAGCAGACAATAGCTGAAACAATTTGCACTTGAACACATTGATTGCTCTGTAGTTTTGCAGGGAAAGATAGTTATACCTTTCATCTTTTTCTTGGAGGTTTTTAAACATAATTAAGTATCAGCAAGCATTTGTGATATATTACAAAAACAAAATTTATATTGTATTTTCTCTTGCAAATTGTCTTGTAGGTAAATAACTCTTACATCTGCTGTGCATTTGTATCACCTGTAGGACATTTACACAAGACCCGTGCTTCACCCCTCAATTTCTGTATTAACTGGCTTGTGTGGGGTGTTTGTTGATGATTTTTAAGAGCTCTTGAGGTGATTCAAATATGCAGCCAAAATGGGAAACCATGTTTTATATTAAGTTAAAAATCAGCAAGGCAAACAAATAAATTTGAATGCCAGCTTATATCAAAAACTTCATCATATTAATGTTTCCCAAGAATCCTGTGCTAGCCTAGCTAAACACCTTGATCTTAAAATATGTAATGTTATCTCATGGCATTCAGCTTTTGTCCCTGCTGTCCTTTTCCCTGTGCCCTATATCAGCCTGGAAAACACCTATTAATACAAATAACTCATTGAATTTTTTTTTCATGTAAAACTTCCTCATTCTCATCTTGTATCTACTCTTTAAAGTTTAGTAAATCATTAATAAATGCTGAATTAGAATGCCAGACCTCAAGAAATGTATAAATTGTAGTGTGGGTGGTGATTGTGAGTGATGAGAAAAACTGTCAAGGTCCCATCCCCATCTGCCCCTCTTTCTGCTTTGTAAAATTTGGCAAGTTATGCTGTGACTCACACACCTTTTTCTTGGAAATGGAATTAATTATCTTTTCCTTGTTGGGTTGGCATGTGCATTATGAGTCAATAGCACTCAACAATTACTCCTCTTTGCTGTTATCACTACAACCTATTACCTCTACAACAATAATCTGATTGGGGAAGAAAGATGCACAACCATGTTGCATGGTAAAGCACAAAACTGCATTGACAAAACAAGATAGGATGTAGTGGACTTCCAAATTTCATAAAGCAATTGTAGGTAGGAAAACTTCATACAAGCAGTAGATAGGGTAAGGTAAAGACTGAAGGTAAGAAGAGTATATTTCAGGTAGGGGAAATCACATAAGCATAACCATAATGGATACTATGATATTAGGAGGCCAATAAGAAAGTATCTAGGTATTGTTTTTTTCCATGACTCTCTTCTCTGCTTCCTATTTTACCCCCTGACTTACCTGCATAGCTGCTCCTGTACTAAATGTGTTTCCAATGAGACCATTTTCTTTTTTCTTAGACAGAATCTTTTTTACCAGTGTCCGTATGTTATTTTCTGTATGCTTTAGATCTTCATCTGCTTTGGTCTGCTCTTTTCCTAGCCTTCTCTTCACACATGTCAGAGCCAGGACAGCCATTGCACCAGTACCTGCCAGGAAACAAAACATTAGTATTAGGATGACCAAACATCCAGTTTTTCTTGGACTGGATTTCTTGACATGCAGGACTTTCAGGATTAAAAGAGGGACAGATTTGAAAAAAATTAGAAAGCTAGTCATGTTAATTAATGATTGGAGAGAAGAATTTCAAGATGTTGTAATTATCCTCAGCACTGTCCACTCAGATATTTCAGTTTCTTTCCCTATGTTGAGCTGCCATATTTCCCATACTTTCCAAAAATTATTAGCATATAATAGTTGTACAAGGGAGATACATTGTGACATTTACATATGTGCTTACAATAGTTCACCTCTCCATTATTCTCCCTCATCCTTTTTCCCCCCTTAGAGCAATTTTAACAGATTTGATTATTCTATTTTCATACAGGAATGCAAAATACATCCACTATATTTGCCCTCTTTCACCCTTTCCTTATGCCCTCACCCTCTCATTAGTACCTACTCCCAGAAAGGACATGTTTATCTTCCTGTCCCTCATGTTTAAAAAATTGTATATTTGCAGTTCAAGGGTGTTTTGCCTTGGCATTTCAGACATGTATATATAATGCTTTAATCAGATTAACCCCCCTATTCATTTCGTATTATTCCAGCAGCTTACAGTGCATTGCACTATATTATCTTCATACAGAGGTGCAATGTTTCAATATTTTTCACTCTCCCCATACTTAATACTTTCCATCATGACCATTAAAACACATGGATTTGCAAAGGCATCCACATGAATACTGTTCCACTTTAGATATTGCTTGCTTGCATCTGTTCTTTCAGTCATCTTGGCAAAGGAATTGAGAAAATCCAGAATAAAAAATCAAACAAAATGTCTTCAAATATTCTCAATCAGTTGATTGCACTGAATTGAGAATGGCACTAACAAAATTGTCTCCCAATAAGCATCTTTAAGGGAGAGAATGAAACAAGAGATGGGAAGTGAAAGGATAAGGGCTTTTTTTCTGGCTTGATATTTACTCTCTCCTTTGTTTTTTTACTATGGTACCTTCCGTCCCTTATAGGAAAAGGAGTATGAGAAATCTCACGTTATTCTTTCTATCTAGAAATACTGAAAATGATTTAATTTGAACTTCTTGGAGAGAGATGAGTGTGTGTTTCTGACTCAGTAGAGGCTGAGCATCAATGCTGGGTGTCCAGAGCAGACTTCTTTTTGGATGATTACACTGACACAGAGGAAAATTGTTCCTTTTCCATTTCTAATACACATATTGTTGACCAAAATATTGGACCTTGTCACTAGAGGAGTATTGTTGAAGTCAACCAACATATCTACAATTTCCTAATAAATTAGAGACAAAAACAATTAATGAATTCCATTGCATCTTTTATAACTTTCTAAAATGTTTTATATTAATGTTATCATTTTCTATCCTTACTTTGCAGTTGGGACAATTCAGATCATGATCTAAAGTAGGAATGAGGTCTTTCTGTTGTACCACAATCTAGGAAGAGTCTTAACTGCCACTATTATTACTCAAAGAAAATTCTTTCCCAAGAGGATTAAGGTAAAAAGGATAGAAAAAGCAAAAACAAAAAACCCAAACAAACCCAAGTGATTTTGGTAGAAAAACTCAAAGAGCAAGGGCTACTGGTGACCATGTCCTGTGTACTAAGAGAATTGGGTTTAATGACTCACCTACTGAAAACTGTCCATGAAAATAATAGTTTTCATTTTCAGGAGCAAATAAACCAGCAACTTTCGTGGGTGAATATGTTCCATTGAACAGGCACAAGGCCAAAACATCCAGGCTGAGCTGGTAGTAGTTAGTCAGCGGACTGCCATTGTGTTCTTCTGCGAGAGAGAGGAGAATACATACTTTATTTACAGAAGTCCTATGAGGTATTGCAGTTTTATTCTTATTTCTCTAACATTTAAAGAGAGGTAAGCAACAGTAGAGAGAGATCACCAATTGGATGAGCAAGCCTGAGAAATGTAAAGGACCTTAGAGGCCACCAAATTCAATTCAGATCCTTTTATTTTATAAGCAAGGAGATCTGACACTATAGAGATAAAGTATAGTCCAGACATTCAGGTTATTACAGATCTAGGAGTAGAATACAGGTTTCTTATCTCCAAGCTGCCTGCATTTTCACTAGTAAAGTTGTAACCGTAAATAGAAGCACAGCTTGGAGACATCTCGAAGGGAGATGGGATTGGAGGGACTTAATAATAAAATAAATATTGGATAGGAGTTGAAATAAAAACAATGCACTTCACTAGCGGCCACATAGCTAAACTATTTTTCCCAGTAATGTACTTGGCAATCTGTAGCTCTTATATTAGCATCTATAAACCGTGTCTAGTATTAGTATTCAATTATTTTTGGTGAATTCATAATGTCTAAAACCAAGCTCCTGGAGAACTAAGAAATTGTGTTCTGCATGTGTTCATCTGCCATTGGGTAAAGGAGTACTTGAAATAGGTCAATGCTTACTTAAATATAATTTAAAAAGTTCAAAATGTATGCTGAAAGAGGAAAGAAGGAAAGGTGACCTACAAACATAAAGGAATGAATGGGATGAACATAAGGATAAAGTAGAGGGAAATTTTAGGTAGTTCTAAATCAGGAGAGGAGAAAACAAAATAATATAGGGTCTCTGAATATTTGACTCTTACCCATATTTTTAATTTCTGCTTGGAATTTATTTTCTAGATGGTCAACCAGGTGATGCTTGCCTATAAAGTTTTCATCTTGCGTATGACATGCTCCCAGAGCCATTATAATCAAAGCAAGCTGTCCTGAACTTAAATTTATCTCTGAAAAGAAAAATATTCAACTTTAATAAGGTACATGCTTGTGATTTTTTTGATCTTCCTGTCTTCCTTGTGACTTATGTTGCCTGTCACTTCTTTTTCTGTTCTACTCTATACTAATATTTGATTTATCTATTTTTGCATATCAAACTCGTATGCATGCTAAGCAAGTCACATTTCCAGCCCTTTTATTTTTCTCTTCTTTACCTCAAAGGCACAGCCTTTACGGCTGTGCTGTATCAGTACAAGTTAGATCTTACCCTTTCCTATAACATCTGGGAATTATGCATTATTTATAAAAATGAAACAAGAAAAAATAGATGAATACACAACCTTGGGATTTTCTCTCTTTGGGATACCATCTTGCCAGGATAGTAACAATTGATTTTATGTTCTGTCTTATAGAGAATGAAAACTCTCAGGCTTCTCATAACTCTTATAATAATATTATAAGGAGGGAAGTACAGCCTCATTTCCCCCTTTACTTACAAATTTGAGCCTTAGTAGTAACTTAACTACCTCAAGGCAATTGCTTCTTCACTGTAAGCTTTTTAAGTTGTGGCTTATATCCCTATGTGGTTATGAAGTTAACTAGCTTATATAGTACAACAGTAATGGATAAAAATACATATTTTGTTTGCTTTCCCTTGTGACCTCTTGGGGAAAAATGGTTTTTAGGATCTGAAGAAGCAAGACCTAGTCTTAAAGTGATGAGTGGCAGTAGATTGATGCTTTGTGGCTGCTCTGTCACCAACAGTTTTATACAACTAGGATGGATATAGTTTGATATACTTTGGATAAACCCTTATTGGAATTTGCTGGAGATAATCTTTCTAATTTTTAATGTTTTATTTTTTAACTTTTTTGCAGTACTGGAGCTTGAACTCAGAGCTTCATATTTGCTAGGTAGGTGCACTACCACTTGAGCCATGCTGTCAGTTTGAGATAATCTGTTTAGATAGATAGATCACGTCCTAAATCTTCCAGAGAATTTAGGTACTCACCTCTACCTTCTGCATAACTTCTGACTTGCTGGGAGAGCCCTTGGATCAGGGTTTGGTTCAGGATCCCAACAAGTCTGAGAGAAAACAGGACATTGGCAGACTCGGTTCCTCTGATGTAATTTGACTTGGTCATTGCATTGAGCAGAGGATCCAGACGGAAATTGTTACGTTCACTTACCTCTGTGGCACAGAAAGAAAGAAATAATATTACAATAATATTCTGAGTTATATAAGGGTGACCTCATTTCTCCCTTATTTTAATTAAAGACTGAGTCTCAGTATTGACCTGATATGCTCAAGACTGACAATGGATTGAGAACCCAGTCCAAATTTCTATTGCTCCATGGTCAATTCTCTACCATCAGTGTTCTTAGCTGTGATCCATTACCCACTGTGTTGTGAACTCAGCTAGCTTCTACAATGCTATTAATGTGTGAGAAATATACACTCTGAAAATATTAACTAGGGAGAAGGGTTATGTTAGAATATTAATTAACAGGTACTGTACATATACTTTGTCTATAATTTTGAAAAATAGCCCCACATTCTATTCATCTCTAGATTATCTCATGGGTTAGTGGGTAGTGAGTTTGGGTAGATTTGATTTGACAGTTTGGTCCTTAACTTATGACTGTGAGTAAGTTATCACTTTCTTGATTTAAAAGTTGGAATTAACTACTCATAGATATGGGACAATAAGCTATAAGCTTTTAATAAGCTAGAAAAAGCTGTGCATATTATTACTTCCAGTGCAACTAGAGTTTCTATCACTCTATTTGGAGAATTTGGAAAATGTGGTTTCCCTTGCCCTTTTTTCTTCACTGTAAAAGAAACAGTCAAGAAGATCTAAATGGAAGTGACTGCAGGGTGGTTATGGTTTGTTACAGACACAATAGTACTATTGTTGAGCCATTTCTTTCAGATTTTGTGGAAGCAGCCAATTTAGTGCCTTCTGGCATTGGAGAAGAATTTTTAGTTCCTGGTCAACAAATCAAGTCAGCTTCTTTGGCCACTAAAAATACAATTATGGAATAAATTGAACTTCAAAGTCTCTACAGAGAACTCTTGCTCCTGGGAGAAATGAGAGTTCAGGAAGAAAAACTTGAGTTGGCAGATTCTATGCTTTAACCTGTTTGAACACTAGCCTGTCTTCTGTGCTGTTGATCTTTTGTTAGCTACAGAGCACGAAAAAAAATGAAGCTACATATGGCACCATGTAGAATCTTTGGCTTGATATGAAGTTCGAATCCTGGGCACAGGCTCACAAAAAGAACTCATTCACCTGAGTGCTACACCAGATGTTAGGAGATGCGTACTTCAAGAGTCTCACCTCATTATTCTCCATTTATGGATGAAGATAAATTCAGAAACATTGGGCCATTCAGGTATAAAGACCTAAGCTTAATTTTCTTTTCTCCCACTTTAGTATTCTTTAGGAAAAGTGAATGAGAAGGCAATATGCAATTGGAAAGGTCACTTAGTAATGACAAGAGATCAGCCTTCATGGCTTGAAAGGGATTATTATTATTGTAATTGCTTATTTATTTAGGGGTTAACCTAAAATCTGTGGGTTGCACTGCAGAAATACAGATTGCATTTCAAAATCACAAGATAACTTTCTGTGGTCTTAAAAGTTTCTGGGATCATAAATTTTTTATCATTGGAAAAGAACAAGATACATAGTTACTTGGTGGGAATGCTGTGGTAGAGAGGATTGGAGCATAGGAAGAACAGTTTGGTAATTCAGGACAGAATCTGTTTCCTCTTAAATCAGTATGCATTGTGGAACTTTCCTCATCATTTCTTGCTGTCCTTTTTATCCTTCTTTACCATGAGCCCAAACACATGTAGAACTGGCATAGGGTCTTAGTTAATTTTGCACAGAGTGTCCTGTAATAGCCTTCAAAGGACTCACACTAGAGTAATTTTACCTCAAAGTGTACTCACCACAGATCTCACATAGGTGGCTTGAAATAAGAGAAAACAGTAGGAGCTCCACGAAGGGCTGCTGGTGTGACGGTCTCATTTCTCCAACTGTGCAGTGAAATGTTGAAGGCTTGGGTTGGCTTATTGGGTAATGAGCACTTCTTCAGGTTACTTGAGCCTCTGTAACTCAGGCTAATATAGAGCAATGTCAGGAGGCGTGATAAATCAGGTAGAAGACTTGAAAGGTATGGCTAGGGAGAATGAGGAAATTATCTTTTATTGTTTGCTGTCTTAGGCCTTCATGATTCACATTTATTACTTGTTTTCAGCAGTACTAGGGTTTGAACTCAGGGATTTGTGCTTGTGAGGCAGGTGCTCTACAGGTTAAGCTATGCTTCCAGCCCTTTGTGGTCTGGTTATTTTGGACACAGGGTCTCCTGAGTGTAAAAATACATTTTAAATTTGATTTTGCCCATAACCAATATTGGAAATGGAAGGGGAAAGTTATGACATCATTTAATAAGTGCTGAACCATCCTAGAGTTATGTATAGAATAATTTCAGTCATGTATGTATATATGTCTGTATGTGTGTTTTCATTTGGCAATTTGAATACATGTAGTTGGTATGAAAATGAAAGTAGATTTGAAAATATACCTTTTCATGTATAGAAATAAAGAGTGCACTGTTTAACTAATCAAGATGATCTAATCAAGATGATCAGAATAATTTCCAAAAATATCACTTGAGGCTCTCTTTCCCCCTCCCTGTAGATATAAATGATGACTGGCAGTCATTGCACTAAGAAGCTAGAAGTTCTAGATGTTGAGAATCCAGGGAACTTTGTATCAGTATTCTACTAGTGATTCTGTGTGTGTGTGTGTGTGTGTGTGTGTGTGTGTGTGTGTGTGTGTATGTATGTATGTGTTTAACAAGGAATAGAGTAGCTTTATAGGTGTTCACTTTTTTGCATGTAAAAAAGTGAAAACAAAATTCCCTTATCTTTAGAAGATGTTCAGGCAAAGATGAACCCATTTTCTCCTTAGTACTGGGTGAAATTGGCTTGATGTGCTCATTGTCAAAGGGTATGTAATCAATAAGCCCTGGAAAGAAGCAGGGAGTAATATGAGATGACCATGGTGCACATACTCGTCACACACCAAAAGGTCAGCTCATTAAATTTGTTAGAGTAGTAAAGTCATCCTAGAGAGAAATGTCAGTTTGATTAGTCTGGAAGAAACATGGAATTGGGATATTTAGGCAATTCTTGTTTCCATTCTTTGGGCCACCATTTTGTGGAGCATGTCTAGGTTAGCACATTAAGGTGTGCCAGCCTTTTTTCCCTTGTGTAGAATTTTCTGTTAATATTTTGTCAGAGTTATCCTTAGGATTATAAGTAATGCCAAGGCCAGCAGATAATATGCAATAAATTGTGGTTGTTATTGAAAAGGCCCAAATTAGAGAATTCAAGGAAGAATTCCATCTTTGAAGATTTTATAAGAAATAAGGACAATGGGTTGAGAACCTTGTCTTTCAGGTCAGGAAAGAGAGAGGATGATAATGTCCATTATCTTTCAGGCTTTTAAGACAATAGAAAGTTTGACAACTTTAGGTCCACATCTTTTTGGATCTCAGAGAACTTTCTCCCAGAGAAGGAAATTACTTGGAAGACATGAGAATAAGCCTAATTTAAGTTCTCAGGGCAATTTTTTGAGAAAAAAGTGGTAGGACAAATAATAATAATAATATTAATAAGCATTTTTGAACATGTGCCATGCAAAAGGAACTGTACTTGGTAATTTTATTATTTTTTTTTCTGGTGGGACTGGGGTTTGAACTCAGGGCTCTGCACTCTCAAAGCAGACACTCTACCGCTTGAGCCACACCTCTAGGCCTGTATTTGGTAATTTTAAACATATTATATTGAATCCTCACAATAACTCAAGAAATAAATATTGTGCTCTTCATTTTGTAGCTATGGAGACTGTGTCTCAGGGAAGAGTCATTGCTTGTATAATGCAGCTCATAAATAAGAGGAGAGCTTCTACTTAAAGCCCATGGGATGCTAAGATCTTTATAACCTGTTGCAATCCCACAGATATGAAGGAAAACTCTCTCCCATTGCAAGGTTGGGCAATGAAACCTTTTAATTAAGCCACTGCCTTGGTCCTGCTGTGACTTTGACTTTGTTCTTCCGCATGGTGACAATTAACATCATCCTTAGACAAAACTAGGTACCAAAGCTTTTTAAGTTGGAGGATATTTCAATACTTGTGCAAAAATGTTAACAAATATTAAGTTTTGTCTTTTTAATGTTTTTCAGAGTTAGTTTCCTTATCTGAAAAAGAGGCACTATTTAATGATTTATCTAGTGACTCTATACGTAATTTGTGTATATATATATATATATACACATGTAATTCATATATATACAATTATTGTAAGTATGCATATAGTTTCATGTTTAGTAATTAAATATATGAAAAAATTAAATAAAATAATTAATGACTATAGCCTTAAGAAATGGACAAAATGCCCATTCTTTTTCTTCACTAACTCTTATTCAAACATGTTGTACCACTAAGGAACTGCTAGTATGTCTTGTGATTAACATTTTCAGTGATATGGCTGATTGAAGAGACAACAGGGCCCCAAGATGTCATCGTGGTTTCAAACCTAAGCAAAAAATCATAAATGATTAACACCTCAACTCAGGTTAGGCAATAAGGAAGTAGAATGAATGGCTAGACAATTTAAAATGTTTTAAAAAGGAGATAAAATTATGCTGAAAAGAAAAATGCAAAGAAAAATGCAAATGACTAATAAATCTGTAATTATATAAACTTTAATTAAACAAAATTTACATAAAAGGATTTTTTCATAATTCTAGTTTATATTTTCACTTGAGTGGGTCAACATGCATTTCTGTGTTTATTAGAAATCCATACATTGCATAGGTATCTGTTATTTTTGGTGACAAACATAATTTCATTTATATATGTGTGCACAATATTCCATGAAAATATGTCTGAAAAGGTTTATTTCCATTTGACATGGTGAAGACTTACGGTGGGGAGTACTTATACATATGTATGAGAAAATATTTTTTCCCATTACATTATACACATCTCCATGTTTCTGTTTGAGTTTCTAGTTTCCCTGCATAACTCTGCATGGGAATAAAGGGATGTAGCCATCATAAAGATCAAGTATCTGAGGATGGTGTGGAGGCTTACTCTATCATTGATAGACTCTGGTGATCTCCAAATACCACTGGGACTTTATACATATTGGATATACCCTGAAGAATTCCATAGTGGATCATGACTACCACACCCATCTGTACCAAATGGCTTGGGGATTGAATGAAGTATTTAAGTCCTCATTTTGCTTGTCTTCCCTGGACTGAGGAAGTAGATCTGCATCCTGGATTTTGTGCAGAAAGAGTTGTCCAGTCAGCCTTTATTCTTTAGCTTCTTTCAGAATGTGGGATATTTCAAATTCTCCTGGGGTCTGGAATCATGTTTATTTTCATTTCTAGAGTCCAATTTGGATGTCTATGTCTACCTGGAAGAGCCTCATCCACCTAGTCACAAAGCATACGAACCAGGTTTGGGCTATTCTCCAGGTGTTTCCTATATAAATGGATTTTTAAAAGCAAATTTAAAAAGCACAAGTGTCAAGTAATGGATAAACAATTAGGTGAGTGATGAAATGAATTTTCACTATGCATATCTGAAACTTTGAAAATTATAATTTTCAGTAACATGGGAAAATACTCCTGCAATAATCTGAAGTGGAAATGTAGAATATTAACTTTGCAGAAATATTTGCCTATCCCATCAGTATGATGAAGCAAAACTATTTATAATATGTGTAGAAAACCCTTCAAAATTATGGAAAATATTAATAGTGGCTATATGTTAGATGGATTATAAGAGAATAATTTTCTCTTTAATGTTCTTTCTCTCCAAATTTCTACTCAGAATTTCCCAGTAAGTCCTGTCACTATTATTGGCCCTGAACAGAAGTGACATAAGGGTTCCATGATCTCTGTTCCACTGTGAAACTACAGGAAGAATTGTAGTAGCTGAGAATTACCAAAGAAAACCCTTCCTAGATTTTTCTTAAACTTTAATGTATCTAAGAATAACTTAGCAACATTATCAGAAATAACAGATTTCCTGGCTCTATACCCAGATAATTGGATATCAGGTCTGAGCTTGGGGGCCAAGAATCTAGATGCTTCAAAACACTGCAAGTATCCTAGTGCAGGTGCTCTACATTCCAGGGTAAATTGCAGACTTGATGCCTGTCTTTTCTGCCCAACTGACTGCCATAATGGATCATTTGCAGTTAGCAGCTTCAGCCCTCCACCCAAAGTAGTAACTGTTGAAGATGCTGCAGCAGTAGAAGAAAGTGTTAACCTCATGTCCTAGAGACACTATAAAGTTCGTGACTTTTCTCCTAGGAAAGAGGATCAAGATGGGATAATTTGATATTTCATGCTGTTTTAATGAAAAAGTAAGATGGTCAATGTTTATTTTACATTCCTTAGTCCTATTTCTCTATTTTCTTGGATCCCATGATGTTAGTCTTCATAATACATATTGTATTTATGATATCTACATATGTAATTATTCCTATTTTCTCTATAGTATTTTATACCATGTGATTAGTAAATGTCAAGTAGATTCAAGGAACCAAATAAGTCATACTTTTCAGAAGCAAAGTCAGTATCTTAATTTTAATATTTGACCTTTCTAGGCCAAGAAACCATAATTTAGAAGTTTGTGAATTTCCTCAAAGAAAAACATGGAGAGGCTTAGGCTATCTCTGAAACTTCCAATTTAAATGCCAAATTTTATGTTCATTTTTCTGAGATGAGCAGTCAGTGCAGTCATCTGATTTTCAAAGAAATCAGTGATTCAAAAATAGTAAGAACTGCTCTTCTAGTTATAAGATGTGTGACTGAAAAAGTTCTATTTATTGAGGTTTTGCTGAAGAAAAGGGAGAGCCCTGGGTTTCATGTGTCATTTGTGGATATTAACTTAACAAAACTTATGTGCTAGAGGATAAAATGTCACCTCTTATTTTTAAACTCTGCTGTGTGATGTGGATGGACGGCAAAGGTACTGATGCAGAACTCTTTAAAATGTATTTGTACTCTAGTACATATATATCCTTATCAAGTCTTTCAAAATTACAGTAAATGCCCTAACCTTGTTATGTTCAGACATACCCAAATATAGTCTTATTTTCTTTCTGAGCCTCCTCCATAACTTCTAGGAAGACAGAACCTCTCGACACATTGACTTCAGTGGAATATGTTTCATTGATTTTCACCAAGTAATGGACTGAGATATATGATGATGAGTTTGGAGCTACAGGCTGAGGCTCTTGAATAGAGATGTTGATGTTACCTGACAGAGACATAAAAACAGAGAGAAATATTTAGAATAATAAAAATGGTGCCAGAGTTTGCACACTTATCCAAGCCCTATGTAAGGATTCCTTTCCTTCATGCAGAGATGATTTCATGGAAGGAGAAAATGTCAACAATGAAGGGACAGAACTTTCATGTGACTAAAGTAGAAACTGAAACTGGAGGCATACTGGCTTGTGAATGCTGGCATTTGGCTCAACTCTCAACTGTTAAACCATTCAGTTGTTCCAAGTGCATTTCTCATAAGGTTCCTGATGTTTTTTTTCCTGCTTTGTTACAGAATTTAGTACTATTTTCCATTCTCCCTTTTTTCCTGGACATTTAATGAGAACATTTAAGTGCCAGGCATTATACTAATAATTTTATGTGGACTATCTCATTCAGTACTTATAAATTACTTATGTTAGACAGTGTTACAATCCCATTTTCTTCATGAGAAAACTGAAGATTAAAGGTTAAACATTTGCCCTATGTCCCAAAATCTGTAAGTGGTTGAATCAAGAATGAACAAATATGGAAGGAAATGTCTCCTTTCTTTGTGGTTGTTGCAAAATTGTTTATTTGAACAAATGATTCATGGTGCATTTCTCTTAAACTACTCCTTATTCCTTCCACACCGATGTCTTATTTACAAAAAGTTCATTTAGGAAAAATAATGGAAAGTCACAAACAAGATGCCTGTCCTCTATACTATGCATGGGAATGAAATGAAGCTCACATTTTAAAAAAATATCTAACAATCAGGAAACATCACTCTGAAGGTAGACATCATTTAATCAAGTCTACCTTGATTGTCAGTATTTGAACCAAGAATGATGTCTACCACGTGAAAAAAATCCTCTGCTGGTTGTACTCAACCAGCTTACCTGGCCACTTTTGGTCCCAAAAGACACCTTTATCTCACAAATTTTGGGTGTGATGCTGAGGGGCAAAAGAATTTACCCTTTTGTGTTTATACCTAAAAGATGGGCACAAGGAGAGGCTTGGTTAACATCCAAGTAGGTTTTTCCAAGCAGGGAAGGTAAGATTTGGGCTGCAGCATCTGGGTTTTTGAATATTCCCAAAGAAATTTCCTTAAGTATTGTGTCCCGAGTTTGTTGGCAGTTCCAATCACTTTCATTATAATAGCTTGATGAGACAAAGAGGGCCTAATGGGAGAGAAACAGAGGGAGAGAGTATGAGACAGTTCAAATAAGGGGGAAGGCTACATCTAACTAATTAATTATTTATTGAACAAGACTACTTAGGAGGCACTGAGGTATCTTTTTTGCTGTCAAGAAATGTACAAGGTAGTTAACTGAAATATCTTTTTTGCTGTCCAGAAATGTACAAGTAGTTTAGATGGACAGGTGAGGAACTGCTTAATTAAACAAGCTGCAATGGCTACAATGACAAAAAACTTCTCTGTGTCCAAACACTGCAAAAATACCTGTCATAAAGGAGATGCTCAATAAATATTATGACCAAACTATAGTAAAGGAACCCTGGGATGAATTCCCTAAGAGAAGCATCTAGTTACATGTTCTTAAAAAGAGGAGAGGAGCTTATCTACATTTAGTGGAGCCAAGGAATGGTTTAATTGGAGAATGTGGTACCTGAGGTGGGCTGCTGATGGTATATGGTATTTTGGGAGGCTAATTTAGGAGTAGGGCTCTGTACTGAGAGAGAAGAGCATGGGCAAAGACCTAATGTATGAGTGGCAAGGTTGTGGCTTGTGATTAGAAAATAAGAATTTTCACAAATCTCCAGGGTTCTTCCCTGTAGTGAGCTTTCTCATGCTCTGTTCCTCCTGATCTAACTGGGGGCAACTGGTGATGCAGAAAGAACAAATGATAGAAGACATACATGCAGAAATTTGGGGTCAGGTGTGCTCGGATGGAGATGCACAGCAGCTTTGTTGCTTCTTTTCTCTAATAACTCTTCTTTTACTTTGTGTCTTTTCTCTATCTTTAAAACTTTACATCTAAAGTCTTCTTTTCTGTCCTTTAAAATCTCTTGCCTTAGACTCACTCTTTTACATGTTCCCTTTAACCTCTCTTAAAGTCTTGGCCCTCAGACTTGCACTGTCCCACATTCTCTCTTTAAAGTCTTGGTGCTCAGACTTGCAGACAAACAACAGCAGCTGCATCCTAAAACTGCATTAGCATAACTCTTAAAGTCTCAGTCCTTAGACTTGCACCGTCCCATGTTAGTTTAGATTTTCTTTAGCTTAGCTTTTCTAAAGCCTACGTATAAAGTTCTCAGTGCTCAGACTTGCACTGTCCCATGTTTCCTCTAATCTCTAGCATAACTCAGCAGCATCATCATCATTCTGCACCAGTCCCCTTGCAAGCTGCTAACCAATCAATCCATCCCTCATCAAAAAACATTCCATCAATACCCCATCAAAAAACCTTGTGTCCTCCTTCAGTGAGTCTTTTATATCCGGTGGTAAACAAGGAGGTGGAGCAGCAGTTCACAGGGAGGGACATGACCTTATAACAAGAGAAACCTGCTCTCTACTTCTCTCAATGTAAACAACTTAGGAAAAGCACCTGTGCTGCATTTTGCCTTTGCACTCTCTTCTGTGGCCTTGCCAAACTCAGCCTGTAGATCATTGAGCACAACTGTGCTTATGTCAAGTCCTCATAGGATCCTCATAATCCGCTCCCCACACTGCCCTGTCTAGGAAGACTGATGTACAGGGAACAATCGGCACAATTGTGGAAGAACAAGCTGGAGAAGGAAGTTGGTCAGGTTGGAAGATGTGAAATGTATGGTGTCATTTGATTGCTGAACAGAATACATCTAGGCTGTAGAATGTAAGTTCAATTGAAGGAGGAACGTTGTGGGGTGGTAAAGGTTTGGAGGGTATTGCAGTGAGCAGACAATAGCTGAAACAATTTGCACTTGAACACATTGATTGCTCTGTAGTTTTGCAGGGAAAGATAGTTATACCTTTCATCTTTTTCTTGGAGGTTTTTAAACATAATTAAGTCATCAGCAAGCATTTGTGATATATTACAAAAACAAAATTTATATTGTATTTTCTCTTGCAAATTGTCTTGTAGGTAAATAACTCTTACATCTGCTGTGCATTTGTATCACCTGTAGGACATTTACACAAGACCCGTGCTTCACCCCTCAATTTCTGTATTAACTGGCTTGTGTGGGGTGTTTGTTGATGATTTTTAAGAGCTCTTGAGGTGATTCAAATATGCAGCCAAAATGGGAAACCATGTTTTATATTAAGTTAAAAATCAGCAAGGCAAACAAA